TTTTATTCTCATTTGTTATTGCTCATTAAGGAATTTCTGGATTGAAAATTTTTGGACTAAGGATAACCCTTTCCCACATTGAGAAATCCCTGAATCCGCGCCGGAATAAATAAATAAATAAACATGTCCAACCATCTTCAAAACTTAAATTTACAAATATGTCCCCATTTCTGTTCTTTGTGTATGAGGGACTGAGTAAAGGTCCCCAATTCTGTAAGCTTATGAGAAGTTGGGTCCCCTACATTTACACAGAGGTCCCCATATTGGCACTTCCGGGTCCCCATTTTCTAAATTTATGAATATATCATTCTAGCTCAAAGACTCAGTCTATTTACTTATTCCAGGATACTGACGGGGTAAAATAAGTTAAACAATACCAATTCTGCCACGAAATCGCTTAGTCCCCATTTTAAGATTTTTTGGCAGGGTCCCCAGATCGAAGTCCAAACACGTATGTGTGTGTGTGTGTGTGTGTGTGTGTCCCTATAGTAAAGGTAATGTTGGGGAAAAATAGCTGTGATTTTGTTCTTCATTAAAAAGTGGGGGGGGGGGGGCACAGACAAACTCTTGCCCCCCCCGATCTGAAAGTGGGGGGGGGGGGGGCTATAGTGCCCCCCCCCCCCCCCCCCCCCCCCCCCTGTGACTACGCCTATGCAGATTGATGTCATCTTACTGAATTTCGTCAAGGCCAGGCGCGCATCCAGGAATTAAAGTTAGAGGGGGCGCCAAAAGTAGGCAAGGGGTCTGGGGGCCGCCTTGAGGCCCCCTGTGGGTCCAGGGCAAAGCCCTGGTGGGGGCCCAGGGGGCGAAGCCCCCAGAAGCTCCTGTGTAGAGATTTTGTAGGGTAAAAATGAGGTCTACCAAGTAGACATATTTACATTTTCTAGACGAAATTGTGATTTAGATGTGAACTCTGGAGTACCTCAAGGCACAGTTATGGGTCCCTCTTGCCTACATCAATGATCTCCGGAGGTGGTAACATCAAATGTAAAATTATTTGCAGACGATTGCCTCATCTACAAGACAATTCAATCAATCCATGACACAGTCCAACAGGAAGAAGATGTACAGAAGTTTTGAATTTTGGCGCGCAATCTAAGCTTTCTTTCGGAACTCCTCTAACAAAGTGATGTAAATATGGAGAAATGGCGGTAGACATATTTGAGCAAGGATATTCGTTTCTATTTCACTAGAAAAACAGGTGTTTATTCTTGTTTTTGTCAACAAAATATGTGGATATTGAACAATATGTGTTAAAGTTTGAGTTTTATTTAGGTTTTGCTGACCTAGGATATTCGGACTGTAAACAAAAACACGTGGGGATGGACCCCTCGGATCGGAGATCACAAGTTCGACTCTGACTTGCGGCGAATGTTGTCATCTTCTTCTAATTTTTTTTTTCAATTACATTTTTCTTCAATTCATTTTAATTTTTTCCTGTCATTTTAATTTTAAATTCAGTTTCAGTCTATATAAACTTCGCCATTACTCAAAATTCATTGAAAATGTTGATTTAGTTAAAAGTTATCTAGGCTTATTTATCTGTTTATCAGTATATCAAATGAAGAGATGATCAGTATATCAAATGAAGAGATGAATTTTCACACATTTTTTTTTACCTCTGAAATTTGTGCTTTTATGTTAAATATTCAATCTTGAAGTAATTGCTTTTTGATTTAGAAATGTGATGTAACCTAACAGTATGTTTCTGATGCAGGTCTGGTGGAGTGGGGTGGAGTTTATTATTAGAACAATGGACACAGATTACAGAGCTATCCTAACGGAGGAGGTTGCATTGGAGGGACTGGATGGTAATCCTATAAGTCTGATTTAACATGATGTCTTGATTTTGAAATTTAAAGTCAATTCTCCCCCGTTCAGCTAGCTGCAATAATGTAGCCCTCTCCGATTTTTTTTAATCTGATGTTTTCTGGAGAGGGCTACAATTCCATCGCATCTCCGTAATGGTGCAAATATTTTTTTTTAATAGGAGCGACTGCAGGCAAAATAAATTATTTTTACATTCAACTTACTTCTAATTAGACGAATTTTTTATTCATTGTCAACAGTAGACCCCGTTAGATGCGAAAAACTTGTAAAATAACTCTGCATGTTTCCTGGTAGTTTACTTCAGCAGCCATGACAGTTCACGCGTGACGTAATGAGACTTTCGCTTGAAATTTAGAACAACTGAATAAAGCAATTATCGGTGTTTATAAATGTATGTGCTTAATTTCGTCACAAAAACATAGGTATATAAAACCATTTTAAGTGTTATTTTTATGCAAGCAGCGATATTTATGTTTAAAATAAGGGAATTCCAAAAAGATCCGCTCCTATAGAACCTAAATTCTCATTGGCTGTCCCAAAATACAATCTATCAAGGTCAGTAAACATGGCGGATAGATTCGAGTTGTGATGTTGACATACACGAAAAATAAGCGATATAGGGATCGTTCTGTATATTTTCACATTGGTTTACGTCTTGGATGACTACTTATTTGGAGTCAAGGTAAGAAATGTTAATAAAATAGCCATTTACTGTTAATTTGAGCCAAAATCCGTGCGGGAGCAAATCACTCCCGCAGCTGCACCATTATGGAGATCCTAAGGAGTTGTAGCCCTCTCCCAAAAAAAAAAAAAAAAAAAAAAAAGGGAGAGGGCTACATTATTGCAGCTACCGTTCAGCGTGAGCTATTCCTTTTCTATTAGGCACAGGGCCCTCAATCATGTTAAAGGGAGAAGACAGTATTCATGATAATGTTGTAAACTGTAGTGACTACAGTCATATTTTTAAAATTACTAAAGATTAACATAGGAATATAAGAGGAACAAGGGCTGTAGAGTAGGTCATCCTCCCAGCAAAAAGCAAATCTACCAATCAAGACAGCACTGGCTATTGATCCTTTTGCAAATTATGTCACATTTTGCAAAGGACAGACAACCCACTTGCACACAAACACGTTACTATATTCCCTCCAGAGTGCTGAAACTGTTGTGAGGGGATAAAAATCTTCTCAAGAACAGCATAGGTACATAATCAATCATATTTATGTGGAAGCACCCCAGAACTGGCATACCTATCCATTTTACCATGTTTTACTAAAATTTTCAGTAAATAAACAACATGTATTTGTTAAAAAATTGATGCTTATGATGTATAGCACTTAAAGCAAGAGTTAAAGGCACTCAAATACAAGTCAAACTCCAAGGTCAAGGTCTAAAGGTCAAAATTATTGGCATCCAAAGTTTTGTCACAAGAAATACACCTCTGAAATACAAAAGTCCTAGTTCTAAGAGTTCAAAAGTTATGGACAAGATTATAGTTCTTTTAAAAGTAGGTCGTACTCAAGGTCAATATCAAAAGGTCAAATATGTTTATTCCCATTAAACAGTTTAGTCTTAATGAATATACATATGAAGTATAAAAGCCCCTACACCAACTGTTGAAAAGGTTGGTCAAGGTTAAACTTTGTGGATTTTTAAGTGAAAATGGACCATACATGTACTCCAAGGTCAAGAGGTCAAAATTGGTGTAGCCTGAAAAAGGTCTTGTCACAAGGAACATACTTGTGAAATTTGAAAGCACTAGAACTAACGGTTAAAAACTTTTTGATCAAGGTTATTTTTTTTTTTAAAGTAGGTCAGACTAAAAAGTCAAGGTCAGAATTGTTTTATACCCATTGAAAGGTCTTGTCACAGTGAATTCATGTACCAAATATGAAAGCCCTAGCAACAACTATTCAAAAGTAATGTCCTAGGGTAAAGTTCTAAAATTTTTGGTAAAAGTGGATCAAAGGTCAAGGTCAAATTTAGTTTTCCCCTAAGAAAGGACTTGTCACAAGAAATACACCTGTGAAATATGAAAGCCATAGCCCCACCCACTCAAAAGTTATGGTCATGGTTAAAGTTTTTGTGGAGAAACAGACAGTCAGGGCAAAAACTACCTTCCCCCAAATAATCAAAGATTTTGGAGGTATATGTATATTATTTTTGGTCGTCTTTCCATCTGTCTGTTTACAAATTTTACAAAAAGTTACAACACTTATATCTTGAACATAATTTTTGAACAGTTGTTGCTAGGACCTTCATTGTTGACAAAGTATTTTAGTGGGTATAAATAATATTAACCATTTGACCTTGACCTTAGAGTTTTACCATCACTTAAAAAACCTTATTTTAACCTTGGCCATATAACTTTTGAACAGTAAGAAGAAAGGCTTTCATATTTCATCATTTGTCCTTGTGACAAGACTTGCCTTTGAGTATGAACAACTTTCACAAATACACCTTATACTGAAGTTTAGTTTTTATGCTCCCCATAGTGGAAGATTTGGGGATATATGGTTTCTGCCCTATTCTGTTGTCTGCAAAACTCTTAACCTTCCCTACAACTTTGACATCATTAACTTGTGCATTTTTTTGTATTTTCTTAAAAAGTTGCAGAAGACATCAATTTTCAGTTGAATTTTCTTTAAGAAAACATAATCTGCCACCATTGCCCAGAAAGATTTTGAGATTTGTGATTTTTCATAGCAGTTTACGTAATATATCCAAAAATTAAAGTGGATGACGGTGGCAGACACTATTTTCTAAAGGAAAATAAGCACAGAAATGAGTCATTTTGAGACTTTTCTGCATGTAAACGTAGAAATGTACCAAATTTATGATGTTATACATGTATTTCCAGAAAGGTCCTCCTTCATGCCATATTCTTTAATGAATTATCATTTTCATCTACTCAACTATTGTTAAAGCCAATTTCATACCTTTTAAAGAACTTTAAATTTTTTGGGCACAATAAAGCTGAAACTGTACCTTCTTCTTTGACATCTTGACCTTGACCCAATTTTACAAAAAAAAAATTCTTACCTTGTCCATAACTTTTGTACAGTTAGTGCTAGGGCTTTCATGCTTCACCTGTTTATTTATTTTGACCAGACCTTTCATTGGGTATGAATATTTTTGACCTTATGACCCCCATATTAGAGTTTGACCCACTTTTTGAAAAAAAATTAATTTTGGACATAACTTGTGAACAGTGGGAACTAGGACTTTCATATTTCACAGTTGTATTTCCTTGTGACAATTAAGACCTTCCTTGGGATACTAACTATTTTGACCTTTTGAACTTGACCTTTGAAGTTTGACTTGCATTTGAAAACCTTCACTCCTTGCTATAAACACATTTGTCGTTTGAATATTTATACTGAGAATTTTGGTAGAAATTGATAGGTATGCCAACTCATTTGGGAAGCACTGACATATAGATAGTGTTCATTTGAGTTTGTTCAAATCTTGACCACCAGGGTGAGAATTACTGACAAAGTATGGTGATAGCTAAATAAGTAGTAAAGTAGGTAGGAAAGTTTTCTTCTCAAAAAACATCAAAGCCATGATTGGTCATAAATAATATGTAAAAATCTCTAGGTACTGTGAACATGTGAAAGAAACAAGTTTGTTTAAATCATGAACCCCTTGGATTAGTAGGTCCACAGTGAGTGATCAAAGTCTTGCATAGGGATGCGGGGTAAAAATCCTGTAAAAAACACTTCAAGAACAACAAAGACCTGATAAGTCAACTGATATTTTGTTAAAATCATGACCCATGCACGAGGTAGAGCAACAAAAGGGGATCAATGTCTAAAACATAAATAATATTTAATATAAAGAAATTCAAAAAAGCTGCTGAAGAACAGCAGAGCCATTGAAACTCCGTTGATCATAGTTACCTGTTAACCTCTTGTTTTATAGGCATTACTCTGCAAGCATTATGGGTAAGACTGGAAAACCGGGTTAACTTCAAAATGAGGCTGGATGAGAAGAGTAGGGAATTCCTGTGGTCCTGTTTGCTGTCCATCCCGGATCTGGAGTTCTACAAACTGGAAACTCCCCGGGGAATCCTTACCGCAAAGCAGCCAATCCAAATTGACCCAGACTCAGGAGTTACAGTGGATTTTGTAAGTTCATAAATAGCGCCAGGATTCAGGAGTTATGGTGGATTTCATGAGACTATAAGTAAAGCTAGGGATCAGGAGTTACAGTGAAGTTTAAAATTTATAAGTAGAGCTAGAAATCAAAATTTACAATTAATTTTGTAAGATTTAGGAATCAGGAGTTACAGTGGATTTTGAAAGTTTTATTATATGATATATAAAACACCACAATATCAGTTAACAATAACAATTTTACAGGATGTAGAAAACTTGTGTACAATCCAAATCATTAATAGTTATCAATTCATTTTACAGGATATAGAAGACTTGTATCCAATCAAAATCATTGACAGTTAACAAATCATTTTACAGGATGTGGGAGAAGACTTGTATCCAATCAAAATCATCAAGACTGAGGGCTCTGTGATTGGCTCCTGTTCTACGTATTATAGTAGACAATGTGTTACCATGGAAATAAAACCAAACGATGATTCTCAAGCTAGACCAACTGTGAAAGAGGCGGAGGAGAGGTCAGATTATATTGTATACATGTACCAAAGAATAAGGTTTCTCTTATCAAGGTTAACAAAATTAGGTTGTTGAATGTTGATTAGGAATGTAAGAAAGTACATGTATTATAAACATGTTAAGACTTTTTTAACTGAGATGAAAGAGGCCTAAGATTTAAAAGAACCATCAAAGCTGTTTTGCTAAGGTATTTGTCAGATAGATTTATTTATATTATCAGATATGGTAACAGTCTGGTGATTGTGGGCTCTCAGGAGCAGAGACTGACTGCTTTGTGTGGTGAAGAGCTGGACCCCAGTAGTCTGTATAACATGGCAGACATTGGCTTCTGTGTACTGGAGAGGATTGGCAGGTAGGGAAATGTGTCAAACTCTGTATACAAAACAGGTGTGTACAGGTGTTTATGTTCAGTGCATTTGGAACTTGGAAGGCATGCAGTTTCACTTTTCCCCAACGAGACAAAACTTTTCTATGAAAAAATCCTTCTTTTCCTGGACAAGATTTACTGCTTTTCTGTGATAATATTTTTTTTTTGCAGTTTATTTTAGCCATTGTCTCTTGCACCTATTTCTCCTTGCTCACCCCTGTTTTCAGCCATTTTCTCATTACTGAGATGGTTAGTTTTTGTTTCCCCTTAGAGTGATCCCTTTAACGTCGGTTGTAATTGATCTGTACCTGACATTTTGCCATTCTATAGATCATGACAGGGTAGGGGATCAAAGATGTACTTTGAATTAGAAATTTTTCTGTTCAACACCAATGGGCCAGAAAAGGTGAAACAAATATGGAAGCTCCCAATTGAACTGAAGATTCTAAATTAATCAAATAATGACCCCCAAGGGCCAGAGCAACAATATAGGGGATGAAATTTTTACCTAAAAAAGTAAGTCTTATCAAAAGTGGGGCATACTGAAATTTTGCATACTGATTATCATTTTACTCATCCATGGTAAAATACTCAAAGAATAAGTGGTTGGAACTTCAAACTCACTTCGACATATCCATGGTATTGTTCGATGTTGGAGTTCAAGTTACTGAAGTTCAATTGTATATCATTAGTCAGGAAGCTATATGGTAAAACACTGATATATATATATATAACTATCATTCGCAATATTTTGATTGACAGGTCTCGGAGGGCAGGGGAATTGTCTGTTGGTGAATCCAGTCTACAGGTCTTTAACATCCAACCCAAGTCCATGTTTTACCACTCGCTGCGACTCATCAAACTAGGCATACTCAAAAAACAGGTCAGACAAACATTTTGTGAGAAGTTGGATTTAACAGACAACGTAAGGTTTATGATTTGATTTGAACATATTTTATCATGTACTAACACATAAATAAATTGGACAGCAGGCATAGCCATAAAACATGTAGAAGATGGATCAGTATCACATAAGACTGCAAGGAAACTGAGAGAAAATTATGTTATTAACTGTTGTCAAGTTTAGCATAATTATGAAGTTTATTTATTATAAATCCAAGTAGATAATTGTTTTAATCCTTCTATAAACGCTGCAGATATTACAATCAGTTATGTTGTTATACCCCCGCTCCGAAGGAGAGGGGGGTATACTGTTTTACCCTTGTGTGTCTGTCCGTCTGTCTGTCCGTCCGTCTGTCCAGCTATACAGTTGAGAGGTACATTGTGCATTTTACGGAAGGTGCGGGGTTATAATTTTGCTTTGTGGGGTTATTAATAGTAGAGTGGTGACTTGAGAGGTTTCATTAGGAATTCAAACAAATGGTATATTGTGGGGTTAAAGGTCTATATTTGTGGGGTTAAAGATCTATGTTTGTGGGGTTAAAAATTAATTATTTAATATCAAGTCAACTTCACAGGCAACTAATACTTAAAATTGTTACTGTTTATCAGAAGAACTTAGAACGGATATAGCAATAACATTTTTCAACAACTGCATAGCAGTAACAATGCAAAAAAATGTTTTTATTTGAGGATAACTGTTGCATCAAAGTAAATTAACCCATCATGTTTTCACATGAAGATGATAGACAAGAATATCCCAGAAGTGTTAAACAAACAACCCCACTATGCTATATAGATATAACAGACAACACTAACCCCATAAATTATAAGACAAACAACCCCAGTATGTACCCTTAAAAAGATAATAGACAACACTAACCCCATTAAGCGTTTGGACAGCAACCCCACTATGTACTCTCATAAAGATAATAGACAACACTAACCCCATAAAGTGTTTGGACAGCAACCCCACTATGTACTCTCATAAAGATAATAGACAACACTAACCCCATAAAGTGTTTGGTCAGCAACCCCACTATGTACTGTTATAAAGATAATAGACAACACTAACCCCATAAAGTGTTTGGACAGCAACCCCACTATGTACTCTCATAAAGATAATAGACAACACTAACCCCATAAAGTGTTTGGACAGCAACCCCACTATGTACTCTCATAAAGATAACAGACAACACTAACCCCATAAAGTGTTTGGACAGCAACCCCACTATGTACTATCATAAAGATAACAGACAACACTAACCCCATAAAGTGTTTGGACAGCAACCCCACTATGTACTTTCATAAAGATAATAGACAACACTAACCCCATTAAGCGTTTGGACAGCAACCCCACTATGTACTCTCATAAAGATAATAGACAACACTAACCCCATAAAGTGTTAGGACAACAACCCCACTAAGTACTCTTATAAAGATAATAGACAACACTAACCCCATAAAGTGTTTGGACAGCAACCCCACAATGTACTCTCATAAAGATAACAGACAACATTAACCCCATAAAGTGTTTGGATAGCAACCCCACTATGTACTCTCATAAAGATAGTAGGCAACACTAACCCCATAAAGTGTTTGGACAGCAACCCCACTATGTACTCTCATAAAGATAATAGACAACACTAACCCCATTAAGCGTTTGGACAGCAACCCCACTATGTACTCTCATAAAGATAATAGACAACACTAACTCCATAAAGTGTTAGGACAACAACCCCACTAAGTACTCTTATAAAGATAATAGACAACACTAACCCCATAAAGTGTTTGGACAGCAACCCCACAATGTACTCTCATAAAGATAACAGACAACATTAACCCCATAAAGTGTTTGGATAGCAACCCCACTATGTACTCTCATAAAGATAGTAGGCAACACTAACCCCATAAAGTGTTAGGACAACAACCCCACTATGTACTCTCATAAAGATAATAGACAACACTAACCCCATAACGTGTAACAACCCCATTATGTTCTTATATAGATAAAAGATAACATTAACCCCACAAAGTGTTAGACAAGAACCACAATATGTTCTGATAGAAAATATCAGACATCTTAGTAACCTCAGAGTGTTAAACAAACAACCCCGCTGTGTTCTCATGTAACAGATACCAGTAACCATATGAATTTAAGTGTTTGAAAACCCCAAGTATGTTCTAATATCAAAAACTCTACCAGGGACTGGTAATAAAAGAACAAGTACCCCCACTATGTTCAATCGCAACTTCTCGAGCCTTTCTGACTAGCTGACAAACGACCTCGAATGTATTAGTTAGACGCCATGGCAACAACCCCCCCCCCCCTTTCATGATCTTCGAAATAAATGCATGAAGACCTTTTATCTGTGGAATATGGAGTTTAACTTTATTCAATGCTATGATATTACATAAAATATACTATAAAAGGGACTTCTTAATTCCTCTATCCTATATTTGAAAAAAACAAGAAAAGCAAAACATTTAACATCAGGTGATGTTAATACATTCGAGGTTGTTTTTCCAAACTCTGAAGGAAAGACCCTGAGTGAGATGATGCGATTGCCAGTACGTCATATCCTTTTTTTTACTATTAAAAATACCAAACAATATTCATAATACTTTTTCCTATTTTGATAACATACTCGAAAATTTGTTTTAAATATTTTTCAAACTATTTTAAATTGGATAATCTCTTTATCTTTACTGCTTATTTCTAATGATAATTTTTCCTTTGAATCTGCTGGTGCATGAATTTGAAGTGTACATTATGCATCAAAAGCATACATAATTTCATTGTAAATTAATAATAATAAATAAAAGAGATGATCCTGATTTTTAAAAAAAAATTTAATCAAACTTTTCAGTTACTCGACAAGTTGAACACAGATAAGAAACATGTCAATAAATGTAGAACACAGAAAAAAAACCTCAAAATTTGAGACAATCTTCATAGATGTAAAAAAAAACCAAGTATATAGTGAGTTGTCAAATAACTCTAAAACTTGCATGTTATTGCTACTTATTTTAAACAAAATATATTAATTAAAATGAAGTTTTAAGAAAAAAAGTGTAGTCTAATATCTCATCATTTTGCATTTTAAAATTGATGTTAAAACAAAAATAACGATGTACATCCTTTTGGAAAATATACTCAAACTTAGAGCTGCACCCCCACTCCCATCCCCTAAAATAAAATAAAAAAAAACCAACATGCAATTGATTTATAATTTTCAAAAAATTAAAATCAAACAACATAAATGTACATTTCAGTTTAATAATTATTTCTCACATTTAAAATGAGATCGCTAATTAAAAAAGACGAAAACTATGACTGTTAATGTATAGAAATTCGCCATGCCGAATGCAATGTTCATAAAAGATCCTTTTGTCTTAAAGCTGAACACTACTCATAAACATAAGTAATCAGAGATTACATAGCTCAATTCAAAAAATGATTACTTCAAGTTAACACGGTCTCACATTTAACTAATAATCAAGAAGTTAATTTAAGGTTTGCAGTAACTTGAGAATAGACATCCAAATACTTGAAACTAGTTGCCCATCAAGAAAATGTAATTCAAATCCACGACCCATGTAAATGTTATCTTTTTAGATTAACTTTCAAAAATCGATTCATCTTCTTTTTCTGAAAAGTAAGTCAGGTCCTGAATGTCGCCGTTTGGAGAAGGCAATGGCAAAAATGAATCGGGATTGTGCTTGTTCTTCTGAAAAGTCTTTAACTCATACTTCATGTATACCTGTCAAAAAAAAAACAACAGTCAAATATATTCTTTAATGATAATGTTGATTTTTTTTAAAGGTAATGGTTTAATTTATTTTAAAATAATATTGGTGTCTTGATTTTATGGGCACTTATAACATGTACTAATCATTGAATGATCTGGATGTCTTTAATAGTTGCTTTCCTTAAATTTGTGAACTATATTCAGATCACAAATTGTGTGTTCAAGTCATAGGTTTGTTCTTTCAACTTTATGAATGTCCAACGCCTGCTGGTGTTGCTGCAACAATAGAGTGGCCTAGATCATCAAAGTTCCACTGATGTTCACTTTCAGTGGTATCTGAACTCTACAAAGGAATACAGAAGCAAATGTTTATTTATAACACACACAAAAATTCCGAGTTACTAATTAAAATTCATCGAAATTTATTTATAGCATAGTTGTCATGTACTGTGAACTACTTTCTTATATTGGTAAAAGGTGAAAAAGTACAGTCAAACTTGTTTTAAGCTTTGGGAAGTCCAGAAACTAGACAGGTGGCCTCTTATTCCAGTTTGCCAAAGAAGTAGCCAGTCGGTCAATAAATAAACAGCAATAACCACTACAGTTGATTTAATTAAACATGTCAATTTCACAAAACCTTTGTATGTGTGTATATATATATTAATCCATGCTTATTTAAAAAATATCAAATTAAAGAATTCCAAATTTTTAAGGTTTTGTGCATGTTCAGTGGCGTAGCTACCATGTATGCTTGTATGCTCGAGCATGCACATCATTTTGAAAAAAAAGATAATGAGACTCTATGACTTGACTCCTTCTCAGTCATGTACAAATTAAATTATAACTGTAGTATCAAAAGTTATGTTTCTTCTAATTTTCTTTACATGTACACTTGCGTAGTTTTACTACTTAAAAAAAAAATAAAGTCACTGACACTGTAAGTTCGAAAACCATTATGGCAGCTACCGTAAAAAATTGAGCATTTCATTTTCTCAAATGAAATTAAGTTTTAGGGTTGAATTTACAAAAATATTTATTTTATAAGATGAATTAATAAGTAGATTGTTCTGAGCCACTTTAATTTTATTTATTACCTTATGTAATATTCTTTTTTTTCGTAATTTTTGCGGATAAAAAACATCGCCGAAAATTTTTATACTAGCCAATCTACGATAGCATGTCCTTTATTACTTAAAAATTAAGATTTTTTTTTTTAAATCGTCTCTGTACAATTATAATTGCTCCTTGGGTTTATTTATAATGGTAAAACGTTGTCAAGATATGTATTTTCTTCACTTTCTTTTATGATTTTATGAGTGTTTAAATCGTCAGAATCCAGGAGCTTCCGGGGGCTTCGCCCCCTGGGCCCCCATCAGGGCTTTGCCCTGGACCCACTCGGGGCCTCAGGGCGGCCCCCAGACCCTTGCAAATTGGAGCATGCACTTCATTTTCAGCCTAGCTACGCCACTGATGTTTCTGTTCCTACAAAACAGTTAAACTTCATACATTCATAAGTGTTCAGAGTTCCCGAAACGCACCGGTCCACTAGGGATCCCCGTAAACTTTGAATGGGACCGGTAAAATCTTAATTTTATCGGTCAAAATGTCTGATGGTTTTTTTTTTACAGACTGTATAACGTTTACATATAATCTTAACAAAATCATTTAATTCAATTGTCCTGACAATAAACAAATGCAAAACTAAAGGAATGAAAAAAACGTCAGGGGCGCGCCAGATCTTGTTTAAATAAAATGTGTAAAATTGTCTACTATAAAAAGCTACATATTAAAATAATAATTTCCATAAGTCTGGGCGGAAAAACAGTTTTAAAAACACTGTCAAACAAATATTTTCCCTCTGATAAATATATGCACTCTGTAGTTCTAACAGTAAAAAAATGTGACAATCTACTTTCGTTTTGAAGGACGAATTTGCAGGGATGCAAGAGTTGCCTGCTATTTCTGCTTGATTACAGACAATTTGTTACCATTTATTATTTTCTCTATAATTTAATCTATTAGCATGATAATATTATACCAACTTCTGGATTTTTTAAATGTATTTGATAGCATTTAAAATACATGCGCGTTTTTCCCCTTTTCTAAAAATAGCGGACTGACTTGAATGTAGTAAAACGACAACAAATTCACTTAAATCATCATTTTCATGATAAATTTGCATATCTTTATATCATTAGTACATATTTTTAACTGTGTGGAGGTTATATAATAAATTTTAACTAGTCAGAAATATCGGACGTTTTCCAGGCTTTTTAAAACGAGTTTGATATTTACGTAATATTTTTCCTGGCACATAAAATACCAAAATCCTAAATCCAAAAGAAAAAAGCCTGGAAAACAACATATATTTCCCACTAATTCCAAACAATCAACCAAGAGTTGTCATGTTGCAGATTTTATTTTAAAAAAAATTTTTAAAAATCTGTCAGAAAGGACATAATAATTTTATACGATGAATTAAGCGTTGGTCATCACACGCCGTCGGCGACGTCAAATCCTGCATACACAGGCCTTATAGAAAATATTTTAATCATTTTTTTTTTTAATCTGCATTTGCCATCTTTTTATTTACACATATTATTTATTATATCGACACAATTTCCAATCCTATAATATGTTAAATTTACATACAAAAAATTAATGTCAGGTAAATTTTACAACTGTCCGGTGAATTTTGAATATTTACAAGACAATTGTCCGACATATTTTTGACTAGTTTCGGGAACTCAGAGTGTTCTTTTGTTACATTCAAATATATGATAATTGAATTACAGTATCATTCAAGAAGAAATACATGTGCCTTACTACTATCTATTTTTTTAATCAGAAAAAATACACAAGCTTTAATTAAAAGACAGTTTAATGGTGAATTAAAAGTATGAAAATTTATTTTAGTAAGTGTCAATAAAATCCATTTAAAAACTTCACTATCATATGTTCAGGTAATGATCAGCAGTGTAACCCCCCCCCCTTCAATTAATCCTCGATCAACTAGTTTGCTGAAGCTTTTAGAGTCTGGTAAATTTTTAATATTATTTTTATAAAGCTGTCAGAATTTCTATCTAACATGCAGACACACACAAAAAATTATTCAATTGACCAAAGATTTGTATTTACGCAGTTTAAAATCATCCTACACAACACAGGTGTCAAGTGCAGTAAAGCGTAACTAATCCCTATCGATCGTCTCCTGATAGTGAAATTCACGAGATAATCATGCTATACAAAACATTTGTTTTGACAAAAATTGCAATTAGAGCTTCTACACGGAATCAAAATCTAACAGGTGTGAAAATACTGATAGCCCTGTATTAGCTAAGTCACATACTCTCACTGTAAATATTCAAAGTAATGATGAATTAATATTGTAAATTACAAAATGTAGCTTTAAGCTTGAATTTCTTTAAGTTTAGCTATGGAAAAACTATTAATTGTGATTTAATTCTTTTAAATTTTCAATCGTCGATCTTGAAAAATAAGTACAAATTGATCTTACATGACAATTATATTTTTTCCATTAACACAAACAGAGTTATATAATTTTATATACGTATCTAAAGGTAATTTGTTTAATTTCTTTAATAGGTGAATTTTATTATCGGGCACATAATTACACAAGCGAATGTGAAAAAAATGTGACATAATGGGTATTTTAACAACTGATTAAAATGTCCTGCACTCATTTATAAACATTGATTGTCATTTATCAAATTGATATACCACTAAATTTTACAACCTAATTATACAACCCCATGTTGATTCCTACAAAGCCTACTTGCTGTGAAAATTTATTGCAGTGACATTGTTAATTCCATTTTTCCATTCTGATTTTCTCTCTATAGATTAAGGTACGATTACAAGTACATGTAAACAAATGTGTGAAGAGTAGATAAACAATTGGTATGTATCTAGAATGAATTCAAAGAGAGAGAGAGAGAGAGAGAGAGAGAGAGAGAGAGAGAGAGAGAGAGAGCAATTATACTACGAAACAGGATAAAATTAAAGCCAAAAATATTCAATTTGAAAAAATTTAAACACGGAAGATTTAAAAATTAATCGGGAGGGGCGGAACAGGCGTGAAAAATCCAGAGATTTTGTCTCCCGTCGGAAGAATCACATGTATTTATGTTATGAGATATCTGCATGTATTTACCATAGATATAGAGAAAATTCGAATTAAGAAAAAACACGATCGTTTTTTGAAGTAAATAAGCCAAGTAGTACTCAAATACGGATTAAATTATGGAGATTTATTGACAGTTGGAGCATGTTATATGGAAAATTTAAATGTTTTGGATTTTTATAGCAAAAAACGAGTGAAAATACGTACCAGGTGTGCTTTGCATGTATTGCATGTGTATAAATAATATTATCTTTTTTTACTGGCCAACGGGGCGACCTTCATGCAGAAAACCACTAGCCCGACCCCCGGGTATCGGTCGATTTTCATTGCAGACCTCTGATTAAAAAAAGAACTATCAGTGCATTCATTATAATTTTTTTTTTCAGAAAAGCCCGTTTTCAATAGGTATGTGTTTATGTGGACTACAGATTTCCTTTCCTTGACTTTAAATAAATTCTACAACTGCATAATGTACGTATGAAGCATGTCAAACAATTTACAAAGCTTTTTTTCAATGTAGTGCAACAAAATAGTAAGACTTACTGCATTTGCTTTTTGTGTCCGAATTTCCTCACTGCTAATACAAAGTGTCCAAACACAGCTACTTCCGTAATCTGCGCATGCGCAGTTAGTTTTAAATATATGCGCATGCTCAGGTATTCGGAACTCCTCGATTCAATTACCGAACTCCTCTAAACAGCAGATTTCTGAATGTCTGAGCGTTTTGGGCTAAGGACATGTCCAAAATTTGGACAAAGTCTTTGTGAGGTTAAATCTAATTTTAGGTTTTTCGACCTCATAGAGTAATTTTGAACGTAATTAGACCTCTTCATTATGGGGTTAACCCCACAGTACCCAAAAAACCCCACACTGCTGGAAAATACGTTAATTTTACCCCACAATGTACCTCTCGTAAGAACAGCTGTCTGTGTGTCCGTCCGAAACAAATTTTCGTCGCTGTTTTCTCAGCAACTACTCATCCTAGATGCTTGAAATTTTAACATATTCTTCTCTGAGACATGCCATATGTTGGGATACATTTTCGCACAAATCTGATGTCGACTTCCTGTTTGTCTGTGCGTCTGTCAGTTTCACACATCACAAATTTTCGTCGCAGTTTTCTCAGCAACTGCTCATCGTAGATGCTTGAAATTTTAACACAATCTTCTCTGAGACATGCCATATGGTGGGATACATTTTCGCACAAATCTGATGTCGACGTCCTGTTTGTCTGTGCGTTTGTCTGTTTCATACATAACTAATTTTCGTTGCAGTTTACTCAGCAACAACTCATTGTAAATGCTTGAAATTTTAACACAATCTTCTCCGAGACATGCCATATGGTGGGATACATTTTCGCACAAATCTGATGTCGACGTCCTGTTTGTCTGTGCGTTTGTCTGTTTCATACATAACTAATTTTTGTCGCAGTTTACTCAGCAACTACTCATTGTATATGCTTGAAATTTTAACACAATCTTCTCTGAGGCATGCCTTATGGTGGGATACATTTTCGTTCAAATCCGATGTCAACTTCCTGTTGGTCTGTGCATCTGTCTGTTTCATACATAACAAATTTTCGTCGCAGTTTTCTCTGCAACTACTCATTGTAGATGCTTGAAATTTTAACACAATCTTCTCTGAGGCATGCCATATGTTGGGATACATTTTTTTTTTAAAATTGGATATCAACTTCCTGTTTGTCTGTGCGTCTGTCTGTTTCACAAATAAAAAATTTTCGTAGCAGTTTTCTCATTAGCTATTCAGAGCGGATGCTTCAAATTTTATTACACTCTTTGTTTAGGCATGCCATATGGTGGAATTACTTTTGATATGAATCTGGTGTCAACTTCATATTTTTCTGTGCATCTGCCTGTAATTGAACTTGTGTATATTAGCATGATAGTGCTTATTTACATCAGAGCGGGGGTATTACTAGTGAGCATTGGCTCACAGATTTCTTGTTTTAACAAATTGACCCTTGAATTTTATCACAAAAAGGCAGAAAATAACACCAAGGTGGTTATACAGCAGTCATACAACAATCACATATTAAATAATCCACTATGGACTGACTTATAGGCTTTAGAGCACGGACCCCCTGCTCAAGCGGCCACCTCCACTGATGCCATTTTTAAACTCCTACATTGAGTAATTCTTTACATGCTCTTTTTTTCAAACATTATCTTCAAATATTGACTATGTTCATTAAAAGCTTTTATTATTGAATTCATACTCTGGCTGCAAAAATGTATGTGAAGGTATTTATTATCTGTTTCAGATAAATTAGTCTTCAGATATGAATTTATTCCTATTCATTTCTATTTATTTGAAGTTCACAAAAAACCTCTGCCATTATCTGATATTTACAACACAGTCTATGTTTATTTCATGTACTGAATCACTTTAATTTCTCCTGAACCAAAAAATCCTAACCACAGCCTTCCTTCACTGTCCACACTCAGTCCACAAGGTGTATCTAATCCATAATTGTCTACACATCCCAGGAACTGTCCATCCTGATCTAGGATATGTAGACAGGCATTGTTATAATCTGCCACAATAATATGGCAATGGGAGTCTGTCACTAAATGTCTTGGACTAAATTTCTTCTCTTTTCTGGCTGGTGTACCATCGTATCGGAATCGGACTCTTCCTGCCTTGTCCACCACAATCACAATGTCAGCATTGAGATCAGAAACACAAATGTCTCCATTGTTGTTCTCTGCTTGGTATAGTGTATTAATACCTTCTTTAAAAATTTTATTCCCCTGTTCATCTCTATAAATTTCCTGTTTCAGTATTTTCCCCTGATAACGTAGTATTTTGTTTTGTTTTTCCCTTTTGACACTGACCAGAATGTCTCCTGATCCTGTACAGCATAGTCTGCATGGTGTCCAGCCACATGGTACCTTTATCTTCCCACCTCTGACTACATTCACTGTTTTTCTGTAATAATCACTGTATATCAGTTCTCCCTTTGTGGTCACTGAGATGCCATCAGGACATTGATATGTGGTGGTAACAGATTCCTGTACAGACCCATGTATGTCAACACGTCTTAAAACTGTGTCAGAACCACTAACCCAGGCTTCATCTGTTCCTACACAGGCCACTTGCCAGAGAGGTTTAACTCCAGTAGGAATGGTGGCTATCACTTTGGCTTTGTCTAATAACTCTGTCATAGATAGATAGGAGACTTTATCTGTCAAACTGGATAATGCTGTCTGTGTTAGTGTAGCCTTGTATTCTCCTAATTCTATTTTGAGTTCTCTTTCATGGATTATTTCTGTATTTCTGTATTTCGGGATCGGGATTCCGAGAAGAAACACGCCAAAAAATTTGTGGTAAATAATACTCAAAAAAATGTAAAATTAACTGATATGATGACAGTGACAATATCTAAAATGTAGCAGAAGATAGAATAACTTATACGTATAAATAAAAAAATCTGACTATACGGCCCAAATTACCCAAAATAATTGAGAAAACGACGAAACAAAATTAGTACATATCGGCGGCAAAAATGGCGGTTTTCAGTAAAGTCAACAAAGCGGACCAAGACGTGATCATGAACTCTTTTTATTGGAACTCAGTCCTAAATACGGCACATTATCAATTTCCAGATTCGCCAAAATTGCCTACTGGAAAAGCAGCTCATGCTGAACTAGAACGTATAGACAAAAACCTATACAAACCAAACGCAAAAATGGTGTCCTTCAGGATACAAGACAAAAACCGTTTAATGAGCTGGCTAAAATGTTTAGCTTACAGATATCACTACCAATTTGGCAAAAGAAAAGAATTCAAATGTGAGTGGACTGATCGTTTGAAGGAGGGAAGTGATGAATTAATAGATGAAGTCATGGTTAGATTGTCATCTGTTGACATAAATGGCGAAGAGATGGAAAAAATCATCACTATCAATGTATACTTTTCTACCCACTTGATCACCGTGCAGGGAAACAACTACCTCCATTGGGTAGATGAGGAATTTCCACACCTAAAATCTGTTGTGGAAAATATGTCCACACAAGACAGCTCTGAGACAAAAGTAAAAAACTTACTTGATGTGTCCGCCGAGTATGACCAGTTTCAATCATTTATTTGTAATAACGAGAAAGCATTTTCTACTCCGAGAATTGTCTCGCCAAATACTGCACGCTTACCAAATCACTCACCAAATCACTTACAAAGCATAGAAACACATTTTTGTTCAAGGTTTAGCACCCTCGACAAAAAGATTGATGCGTCGAATAACAATCTTATAGAAAAAATAAACAAATTAGAAGAAACCATGCAGAAAAAGAACCAAGAGAACGAAGTAAATCAAAGTGTATTACAATCAAGAAATAAAGAACTAGAAAGTAAAGTAAACCATTTACTGGCAGAAATGAAGAAAAAGGAAGATGAAATCAAGGAACTCAGAGAAGAAATGAGCAGGTTCAAAGAAGCCGAGGAAGAAAATGTTAAAAAAGAGCAACGGAAGGAAAAGAAAATTGAAGAGAAATTCAATGATTCAGAAGTGAATGTGTTGTTGGAAGAGAATACCAATACAAGTGTTAAATGTTTAATTCCAACTGCCAATAGATATGAAGCCCTCTCACCTGATGTTGAAGAATCAGATGCAATGCACCAAACAAGGTCAGATTTACCATGTGAAACACCATTAAACAAACAAGATCTGCCCATCGAAATCATCATGGACTCCCATGGAAAATGGTTAGACCCAAAATGGATGTACAAGAACAAAGATTTAAGGATAACGGTACTAGGCGCAGGGAAAAAGAACATTAAGGGAGCAATGGAACACATTCAGAATGTAACATCTTCCAAACACTTGGTCATAGGAGTTGGATGTAATGACCTGTCCAATGAAAACCCAGAAGAAGTCTCAGGCAAATTTAAAGAAATGATCATGAAAAATCCAAAAAATTGTGTCTTTCACATTTTACCCATATTTGAAAGATGCGGAGACAGTCCATACAACCAAAAAGTTGCAGAGACCAACAGGAAACTAAGGGAATTATGCGAGGAAAATGGTGTAAACTTCATCAAAATGAACAAAATATCACCGGAAAACCCTCAAAACTACACAAGGGATGGAGTGCATTTTAGTAATGTAGGAAGAAAAAATCTGGTCATCATGATAAAACATCACCTTAATCCACATTTGGGTATGAAGCCATACAGCCAATACCAAAGGCCTGAATCGCAAAATCATCTGTACCACAAAGGAGAACATCACCAAAATAGTCAAAGTCATTATCAACAGAGAAAACAACATCACCACTTTAACCAATGGCAGGCGAACCATGAATGGCAACAGTACCAATACACTAAAGAACGATTCCACCAAAATAATCATCAACTACAAAAAAAACCGCGGAGCCAAAACGTTGAAGAACAAACATCAAAGGAATCTCAGATGAAAGAGCTTCTTGAACAGTTGCTAAAAATCTTATAGATACATGAAAGATCAGTATGATACATGAACCAGTCATCCAATCTAGTCACAATCTATGCCATAATACTCCTTTATTACATGTATATTATTATTATTTTTTCTTTTCCTCAGGTTGTGTGTTGTTAAATTGAAGTAGAATAGATGACTACTTAAGTATATTCTTGGTTGTGTTTAAATAGTTGTTGTAAATATGATACATGTACACGTATCTGCCTTTTATATATTTTTTATGTCACTGTCAGAATGTTAGATTGATTTTTCTTAATAATTTTGAAATGACATCACTAAATATTGTGTACTGGAATGTGCATGGCCTCAGTGATGAAAAGTTAAATGATGATCTTTTACAAAACTTGTGTACAAAATATGATATTGTTTGTTTAGCTGAAACAATGCTTAAGGATTCAACAAGAAATCTTCCAGGATTTTCTCCACCATTTGTTTTGAACTCAAAAAAGATAAAGAAAAGGGGTAGACCATCAGGTGGATTACATATATATATAAAACCTACAATATACAAACACTTTAAAAAAGTATTTCAAAGTGAAAATAGCATTTGGCTGGAAACTAACATTCAAAACACAAATTCACAGCAGAATAGTGATTCATATTATTTTTGTTTCTGTTATATAAAACCATATATAAATAAAGCTAAATCCGAAGAAATATTTTCTAATTTAGAAAATGAAATTGCAAACTACAGAAGTAAAGGAGAGATTTTTATTTGTGGAGACTTTAATGCTCGCACTGGGGGGCTTCAAGACTTTATACAACATGACACACTAAATGATACATTTTTGGATTGCCCTCTGCCAGAAAACATATATGAGCCTGACATTTCAGTGAGCAGAAACCAACTCGATAAGACATCAAATTTACACGGACATCTACTCACTGATATTTGCAAAACATATAGATTATCTATCCTGAATGGAAGATTTCTTGGTGACTCACTTGGCTATTTCACATTTTTTAATTCTAATGGTTCAAGCACTGTTGACTATATGTTGGCATCAAGTCAGTTGTACCATAAGATCGAACATTTCAATGTATTACCTCCAACAGAAATATCAGATCATTGTCTTATAACTGCAAGTGTACATATGAACATGGACCTGTTTTGTAAGGAAAAATATAAAATACACTCTTTAAAGGGGAAATACCTCTGGTCAAGCACTTGTAAAAACCAATATGTAGAAGCTATTAATGAGGAAGAAACAAAAAATCAAATACTTATGTTGAATAATTTACTAGATGAAATATATGATGATAACACATATGATTCAAATGATCTTGTCGATAAACTGTCAAATATTATAATTAATGCAGCAAATAAAAGTGTTCCATTTAAACCTGCAAAATTTACAAAATCAATTAGAAAAAATAAACAAAAACCAAAATGGATGAATACAGATTGTCTACTTTTACGAAAAGAAGTTAGAAATTTAGGAAAGAAAGTACACAAATATCCAAACAACTGTGAACTAAAACATGCCTTCACAAACTGTAGAAAAAATTATAATAAATTAAGGAAAAATCTTAAATCAACTTTTTACAATAGTATAGCAGAAGAAATAAACTCGCTTTCACCACAAAACTCTAATAAATTTTGGAATAAGATAAAAGAAAATAAATCAAAGAAAACTAATGCAGAAGCAATTGGAATTTCAGAATTCGTTGATCATTACAAATCGCTACTGAACATACAATATGCTGATGAAGAAAGCTCAAAATACAAATTTACTGAACTAAATACTGAACCAAATCCATTAGACTTTTTGTTTACTCAAGATGAAATTAAACAAAGCATTTTAAAGCTAAAAAATGGTAAAAGTGCTGGGCCTGACTTAATCTTAAATGAATTTATTAAAACAAACAATACTTCTCTTTTACCAGTTCTTACAAAACTGTTCAATATTTTACTAAAAAATGGAAAAATGCCCAACGAATGGAACCTATCACTTATTACCTCATTATACAAAAATGGTGACCCTAATAATACAAACAATTATAGAGGTCTCAGTGTTACAAGTTGTTTAGGAAAACTTTTTACAGGCCTTCTACAGAAACGCTTAGATAATTATCTTGAGTCAAATAACCTACTAAGCCAATATCAATCTGGATTTAGAAAAGGTCATAGGACCACAGACAATATATTTGTATTAAAAACACTTGTAAACAAATATCTTTATGCAAAGAAACAGAATTTATATGTGTGTTTTGTAGATTTTTCAAAAGCATTTGATACTGTATGGAGATCCGCACTTTTATACAAATTGAATAAAAAGGGTATTGGTGGTAACTTTCTCAAACTTTTAACAGACATGTATTCGAACACATACTATTCTTGTAAAAAAGACAATCAAATGAGTGAGAAATTTAAAGCAAATAGAGGAGTCAAGCAAGGTGATAATTTAAGTCCAACACTTTTTAATATTTTTGTTGATGATTTTGTGAATTATTTCAAGAATGTAAGTACATATCCTGCTTATCTAGATACTATGCCAATTAATCATATGTTTTTTGCTGATGATCTTGTCCTTGTATCAGAATCAGAAGTTGGTCTACAAAATTGTATAGATATTTTAGGAAAATATTGTTCAGACTGGAAATTATGTGTTAATATGGAAAAAACAGATGTTATGATTTTTTCAAAAAAATCTGTTGATGAAGCATCATTTAGATTTTATTATAATCACAAAATGATTAACATAACAAATGAATATAAATATTTGGGTGTTGTGTTTAGATCTGATGGGAAAATGAAATCTGCTGCTGAACAGCTATCAGAACGTGCTAGAAAAGCATATTACGCTATTAAATCAAATTTTCCTGCAAATGTTAATTTTTCTGCTGAAATTATGTTGAAATTATATCAGTCAATGATAATACCAATTATAACATATGGATCTGAAATATGGATAACTGACTTTAAATGTGATTTAATGTCTTCAGACCAGTTTCCTTTTGAAAAAACACAGCACTTGATATTTAAAGATATACTAGGGGTACACAGAAAGGCATCAAATCTTGCTGTTTTATGTGAGTTGGGTCGTTTTCCTTTGTACTATTTATGTTATGAATATATGTTAAAATATTATATGAGACTGAAGGAAATGGAATGCAACCATGATTATAACAATTATTTAGTGATATCTGCATTTAAAGAAGACAAAAATCTTGTATCTAAAATATCTTGGCAAAAGAAACTGTCTTCATTACTACAAAAATTAAATATTAGTTCTTTGGAAATATCTCACATAACTTTGAAAAACAAATTACAAGAGCATTACCAAAACAAGATATATGAACAACTGGAAAAAGTTAGCAAATCAGACTCTGGAAAGTTAGCATTTTATAGCAAAATTGTGAATCAAGATGAATACAAACTGCAAAGTTATTTAAAACTACCCCTGAAGAAAAGTTGTAGATCTTTATTAACAAAATTAAGGATCAGTGCCCATCCACTATATATTGAAACGGGTAGATACTGTAAACCCCCTATTCCTAGAGAAAAACGTTTATGTTACTCATGTAAATTGTTTGTTGAAGACGAAAAACATTTTGTTCTTTATTGTCCAAAGTATGATCAATATAGATGCAATTATAATGATATATTTAATGTAAACACATATACTAGTGATAACCCCATTAGAAAAATTGTCAATCCTACAAATATTTCAACTGCTAGAAGGATATGTTGTTTCTTGAAAAAGTGCTTTGACATCAGAAAAGAAAGTCAAAAATGAATATTAATATTGAGAAATACACAATTTTGTTCACCTCATATTTCTCACTTTGTATATGCTTGTATTAATTGTGTTAATTTATGTTATGTTATTCATGTTCATGACTGTATGCCGACATGGTAATTGTCAATAAAGTGAATTGAATCTGTATTCAGTGAAGGAATTTTTACATCAATATCAGCTGATATGTCTGTGTAGTCAGCCAGTTTGGATTTGTAGTTGTTGACTTCAGACACTCTATTAGCTTTCAAGATTTTTTTGTTTTTTTCAACAGTATGCATCATAACTGGAATAAAATTTTTTATCTTGGATTGTTGAGATTTTAAATCTTGTGGACTTGATTAAGGAGTTAAGTTTGTTGAAAATATTATCCACCTCTTGGTGCCATAGTTTTCTGTGTTTTTCTGCTTCTTTTTCCAGTTCATCAAACTTGGCTGTTGATGTGGAGATTTTGCTGGCTAAATTTTCAATTTTCTGCTTGTATTTGGGAACAATGATGGATTCAATTTTGTGGTTTTCACTTCCAATTTCATTTTTCTTCATTTCAAAATACATGTGTATTTCCGTAAAATTGTGTGTATTATGGGAACTGAGAATGCATCTCAGACAGCCATGAACATCACACTTTTGGCAATGAGCCATACATCTCTGGTTGGAGTGAACCTTACACTCAGGAAACACTGGCTGGATCTTCCTATTGGTAAAATGAACAATGTCGTGTATTTGAGATTTGAATTTGTCCACATGTTTACTGACACAGTCCACACATAAACTGACTTGACAGTTGTTACAGAACTGCTGAGTAGGCTTAGGACAAAGGTCACAGGTGATGACCTCCTGAGCCCAGGAAGTAGGAGTGGCCATTGTCTTCTAATGGAACTGAAAATTTTATTAAAAAATTGAATTAGTAAAAGTTACATGTTGTACATGTATGATTGAAACAGCTATTTGAAACACTACCCTCTTTATTTTGTTACAGCTTTATTGAATATTCAAAAAGTTCTATCTGTATAGATTTACGAAGGAAATAATTTGAAAGGTAAAACAATAAGAAACTTCACTGAAAGATTCTTATATCATGAACAATGATAAACTGTTTGGAAAATCTGTACTAAATTACCTTTCAGTTTCAATCATTAGAAGCTAACTGTTTGGAAAGAATAAGTATTTCATCTCCCCACCTCAATCAACATTCACCTGACTCCGGGGAAGTACTTTCGGTTTGATGTTTATACTTCCTGGTTACCTATCATCAAGTCATTGAGCAGAGTCTGTTTGCTTGTCTTTGTAATCAGTGATCAATGCATGTCTTCTGATGCACAAATAGAACTATCGAGAATTTTAAAAGGCACTTATCAGAGTTTTTGCTCATTGTATACCTGATATGTGTTTCTCCCTAATAACTAAAACAAGTTTGACCATGTTAACATGAATACATGTATCTGATAGTATTTTAATATCTACCTTTAAAAAGCTTTTAAGGTAATATTTATTAGATGAAACTTGATATCAACTTGCAGACTTTTCACAATCCATATTATTTAATGTGTTTTAAATGATTACAAATTTGTACATTCTCTATTTAGCCAACTGATTTAAAGCAATATTATCCAAATTTTATATTTGGTGTTCTTGCTAGGGCAGAATAAAAACTTTGTGCTTTTCACTAAGTTTTTAGCTCACCTGAACCGAAGGCTCAAGTGAGCTTTTCTGATCACATTTTGTCCGTTGTCCGTCCGTTCGTCCATCCGTCTGTCTGAACGTCTGTAAACTTTTTACATTTTAGACTTCTTCTCAAGAACCACTGGGCCAATTTTGACCAAACTTGGTACAAAGCATCCTTGGGTAAAGGGGAATTTAAATTGGTAAAATCAAGGGCCAAGTCCCCTCACAAGGGGAGATAATCAAGAAAAGACAAAAATAGGGTGGGGTCATTAAAAAATCTTCTTCTCAAGAACCACTGGTCCAGAAAAGCTGAAACTTATGTGGAAGCATCCTAGGGTAGTGTAGATTCTAAATTGTTCAGATCATGACCTCCGGGGGTAGGGCAGGGCCACAATAGGGAATCAAAGTTTTACATAGAAATATATAGGAAAAATCTTTGAAAATCTTCTTCTCAAGAACCACTGGGCCAGAAAAGCTGAAACTTATATGGAAGCATCCTGGGATAGTGTAGATTCTAAATTGTACAAATCATGACCTCCGAGGGTAGGGCAGGGTCACAATGGGGAATCAAAGTTTTACGTAGAAATATATGGGAAAAATCTTTGAAAATCTTCTTCTCAAGAACCACTGGGCCAGAAAAGCTGAAACTTATATGGAAGCATCCTAGGGTAGTGTAGATTTTAAATTCTTCAAATCATGACCCCAGGGGGTAGGGCAGGGTCACAATGGGGAATCAAAGTTTTACATAAAAATATATGGGAAAAATCTTTGAAAATCTTCTTCTCAAGAACCACTGGGCCAGAAAAGCTGCAACTTAAGTGGAAGCATCCTGGGTTAGTGTAGATTCTAAATTGTACAAATCATGACCTCCGGGGGTAGGGCGGGGCCACAATGGGGAATCAAAGTTTTACATAGAAAGATATAGGAAAAATCTTTGAAAATCTTCTCCTCAAGAACCACTGGGCCAGAAAAGCTGAAACTTTTGTGGACTTGGAAGCATTTTGGGGTAGTGTAGATTTCAAAATGTCTAAATTATGAGAAGTGGGGTAGAGTGAGGTTGCAATATGTATTAAAAGGGGGGAATCTGTTAAAGAACAGAATGGTCAAAGCTTCTCTGGTGAGCGATGTGGCCCATGGGCCTCTTGTTAAAATATCCAACTGGATTGTGTTAAAATGGAGATGAAAATATCAGGAAGTTTTACCCTTTGGGATTTAAATGTTTTTTCTCCAAAAAATTTCATATCCTATTGTAGCTAAAAGCAAATGGTGCACTCAGTAGTAATTACATAGAGTTCAATCTGACTTCAGGAGGTCACAATCAAAAAATCAATATGTACTCTTTTAACATAAAAGAGATTTATAAAAACCAAAAAAAAACGTAATATAATTCAACACAACGCAGCACAGTTAAGGTTACAGTAAGGAGGCGGGGCCTAATTTGTACGGGAAATGTTTACTATGACGTCACACATAATATAAGGTCTTCAAAATACCACAAAATAAAATTATTTGCTATTTCAAACAGCTGGATAGTTGTATACTATATGCAAACTTAACTATTACATGCAGTTTTGTCGTTTCTTAAATCCCACACAACAGTATATAAACGATGCATGGATCGCAATGCACTTGTCAATGTGATGTCATCTCGCAAAAATGACGCATTTTGTACACAGTGAGAGGCTGATCAAGTCACATTTTGTACAATGAAAAATGTCTTTCGTTCTCAAATGAAATATTATTTGCAGTAAAATAAATAGCCGTTAACTTAGATGTGATGTCTATTTTAGTATTTTATTGATAAACTGTACGTGCATTCTCCAGACAAGCGATACTGTCGTGTGTTTGTATGCAGATTCATTGAAAAAGTAATGGAAGGGCCCTAATAAATCGATTTATTGCAAGGGCATACCCTCAATGTATCTTGTCAAAATTTTACATATAAACTCAAGAAGCATTAAGATATTTGAAAAGTGCTGCGAACCTCTTGAAATCTTGCAAATGAATTAATTACAGCTATATATAATGTAGTTGACCAGCAAAATATTCAACCTGCCGTCCAACAAATTAAATTTTACCAATTAAAAAAGGGAATCTATATAGGTTCGCAGCACTTTTCACAAACTACATATAGTGTTGAAAAGGATTATAAAATAAACTAAGATTTTTAACTTAGTTATGCCCTTGCAATATTGGAATATATAGATGACCTCTAAACTGCAAGTATAATTGCTTAAGTTATGTGACGTCGACATCAAGTGACAAATCTAAATTGAAAAAATGTCCCCAACATGTAGATTTAATCTACATTACATATTTTTTGATATCAGTGAAGTTCTAAAAAGAATTCTAATAAAGTATGTACTTTTTATCTTAAAAAATTGCCGATATTCCCATTTGTAACCTTAACTGTGCTGCGAATCTATTTTTTTTTAGAGCATCACTGTGTACAACAAAAAGGGACAGAACTCCTTACGACGTTTATTTCACCTGAGCCGATTCTACCACCAGTACCAGTCCAAGTATACCATACTATCTAATCTAGTGGTCAATTACCTGAACGATCAACCAATGAAACGACAGGAAATCACAAAAACCAGACAGGACTGTGTAAGTATCTGTCATTTATCTGTTTGACCAATCTCATGGTTAATTATGTGAATGATTAATTAAAGCAATATGAGCTGCATGTTGGACATCAGAAAAAAAAATGTAAATTTGTAATTAACTATTTCAATGACAGGAAAATAGAACATTTATAAACTTCTGTTGTTAATATTTGCAATGAAAGAACTTTTTATAAGCTTCGGTTGAAGCAAAATTGAATTATTGTTGTCCTGTACAATAATGATTTCTTATATAATACTGTATATTCGGTTGTACAGAAATATTTCTTCTGAAACATTCTAAAACTTTATTTTGGGTAATTGATCTTACTGGTTTAGATTACATACAGACAAATCATAATAACACATTTTATCAGCAAAATAAAATTCTCAAAAATGCAGCTTATATTGCTTTAACCAATGAAATAGCAGGTAATCACAAAAGCCAGACAGGACTGTGTAAGTATCTGTCATTTATCCGTTTGACCAACCTAATTATTAATTGTTAATTATGTGAATGATCAACCAATAAAATGACAGGATATCTCTGCGGCTTGTCAGAATTTCATAAGTATTCTGTACAGATCACCTAGTGGTCACTTACCTGAATTATAAACCAACAAAAACAGCAAGAGATCTTTATATATTAAGAATAGTATGCATTCCTACCTGGTCCAAGTGAAATCACTCATGTACAGTAAAGCAAAGAGGTTTATTGTAAATACTTAAGAGTCATTCTCTGTAAAAACCAAAGAATCCAAGGAGGCCGTAAAAACGAATGTCTCCGAAATACGTAATTTTTTGTATTTAGAGTGTACTCAGGTGTCTAACTGAGAAAACCACCTTAGTTCATGTTTCGGGGTGTCCGTTGCCATGGCAACCGTAACTAACACAAATATGGCCATTTTGACAGGTTCTATTTCATGAAATATAGCATTTTTAACCCCAATATTTCCTTTAAACACGAAAAATATGACCACTTTCAATTATATAATTTATTTTATGTATTCTTATATAATTAAAATAATTAAGAATTAAATCTTTTGCCTGAGGCGTTTCAAGCTGATAGAAGGCTAAAAATATCAAATTTCATGATTTTTTCAAAATGCAGAAAAATCCATTTTACCCTCTATTTCAATTACATTTATCTTTAAATTCCAAGATAGGTTTTTTAAACTTCTTGTTTATTCCAAATATCTATACTATAGTCTTTCATTTCATATAGATTCCAAACATGTGTTTTTCAGATAACTCGGGAAATATCAAAATGAAAATAACCCATAATCCCGAATTTCCTCAGATATGGATTGGAAAACGGCGTTATACATTGTATATGGTATATTTTGTAGAGTTTGTTTTTCTCTTTTGAGGACATTGTTTATGTAAAACAACCTTAACAGAGAATTAAATGATAAAAATGAATGAAAATGTATCATTTTAGGGGCGGATAGCAACATTGCAGTGGTTAACAGGGATCATGGGATTTTTTTTCATTTCATGTTTTTATCGGTTCAAAATCACTTTTGTGGCTAAATTTTAACAATACTGACGTGTATATTAATCATGCTACTAATCAATTCTTTAAATGAAATGTAGATATATTTAAGATATAAAAGTAATACACAGATATTTCATTTTACCCCCCCCCCTTTTTTTTTTTTAATGAGGAAAAGGCTGGGGATTAATGACACCTGTTCTATGACTCAAATTTTATCTTCTTCAGCTATTAAACGTATTTGTTACAAATTTAGCTGAAAAAAAAGAGTCGATGAAAAGTTAATTTATTAACTCTATCACAACGTAAGGCTAAGGTCAAGAGTTCAAAGTTAACTGAAGAATATATATACATGTAGTATAATTGCTTCTCCACATTTTCAGGAATTGACTGGATGACCTTAAGTCAGGATTTCTGATTACAGAAACAGAATGCTATAAAGTACAACATGTTTAATCCAAAATGGTTTAAATGGACTAAATAAACAATTGATAACTGAAAATAAATCTGAAAATTAAAAGATTATTATTTATTATTACTTTTTTCAAAGAAAATATAAAAGATTATGGTGTGCAGAGAAAGTTCGGGCCAATTATTTTTTTTTAAATAACTTTTTCAATTATCAATTTATATTAAAGCTCAAACATTATTTCATATACTTGTAATTGATTGATACACAATAAAGAATTTCAAAAATATGTATGTATACTGTTGAACACAAACCATTCACAGCAACATATCTAAATAATTTGATTATTGAGCTCATAAAATTATAATACCAGCAGAATAAGGACAACAAAAGTAAAATGAGACCATACATGTAAGTAATAAGAGTTCCTGTCATTCAGATTTTCAACTTGATTGCAGGCTCGTAAGAGGCAATTTCAGTTGGAAGAGGGGGGGGGGGGGGGCACAACCATACATTCTCAGTGAAAACTACCAAAAATTTCTAGAAAGCAAAATAAGGACAAAAGATCATTAGACGTATTTTCTGAGGGGGCACAAGCATAGAGTAGCTATGTTTATTATAGAATTCTATATATTGGCAAAATATTAGGGGGGGGGGGGCAAATCTTGGTCATATTGTGAAAAATAATTATATATTTTCTATGAACTACCCAAGAGCCATTAGCAGGAATAGTAGGGCAATGACATACTTAAGTGAATAATTACATAGATGTACAATAGGTGGTTTTTCACTTTTATCAGTTAATATTTTTGTCATCCAAGTAAACGTTATCCTTAAGCCTTGAAAATAATAATAGACACTTTTGACATAGATTTCTTTAATTTTTTTGTCAATTTTATATAAATTCAATAATTGTAACAAAGGATGGAATTATCATTTTACATGCAATGAGACTACTGTTTATACACTTTTTATCTTTTATTTAAGAATGTACATTATTAAATTCTTTTTTTTAAATTATTTGAAGCATATTCATAGTAGTGCATAGTGGACCCATGTTATTATGCATGAATAACTTCAGGATAAGTGGTCAAAACTTCCCTCAGGTATAATACTAGGCAAGACTAGGATTTTCTTCAGATACTGTAAGACTTCACTATTTCTTTGATGTTCTTTGGGAGAATAACAGCAATGTTTGTCATTATATTGTTGTAGTATAATTTAGCAGGCTTAGTGAAGGTGTCCCGACGGTATCTCCCATTCTCTGAAAACTCTCACTAATTTTCATCAGATACTCATTCATTTGCTGAATGTCATGACTGGTCATGACTAAATGTAAAATTCTGGCTTCTTGAGTTCTGTAATAGACAATACAAGTATTTAGATTTACCAGGTAGATAATACAAGACTTAAGTTAACCAGAAATCTCTGTCAAGACTGTAGCTCTACTGGTTTGTACATATAATAAAGAAAGAGAAAACTAGCAGTTGGACATTTACAAAAGCAATCAATAGAATAATGACAAAAACAGATACACAGAATTATTTATCTTATTGTAGTTTACTTGTGTGCCAAGTTATATTGAAATCAGACCAAAACTGTAGGAGGAGTAGCATTTTGAAAAACTGTTTTACAGACATACAGACAGACAAACAGACGACCGACGCATTACTATCGCATAAGCTCTTCTGGTCTTTGACCAGTAGAGCTAAAAATGATTAATGGAACCAATTGGATCATGAAAACAGTTACACTTGTACATGTAATAGGTCATACATCCTCTCTAGTCAGACTACACCAGTGTAAAATGATTTTTGGACTTTGCGAAAATTATATTGAATAAAGATGTAAATAATAAGCTTCTCTATTTCATTTTCAATACATGATACATGGCATTTAACCCCAGGAAAAAAATGTTCAAACACAACACAGTATCAGTAGAAATAATTGCTATTTACTTCTATGGAGAAGATACATGTAAACAACATGTTTATAATTTAGAATTTAAACTATCTTGCCCTTTTAAAATGTTAAGAATACTTGATTTGATTATAAACTGAGTAATATAGTGTAAATGTATATTTATTGGCATTTAAATCTAAGGGCAGATAAATAGAACAGAATCGTAACTCTTTAGTGTTCAGTGTAGAGAGGTTTCTTAAGGAAAGTGGTAGGAACTCTTGTCAAAATTTTTGAAAATAACAACTTGGGTCATGTTTTAATGAATAAAATGAATAAGTTTTACAGTGTAGTTTTTTTTTTAATTTCTTATTCAAAGTTGCACAAAAATTGAATTTGAAGTAAAAAATATTTGTATAGAATAATTAGGATGATTTCAGATGGGTAGAAATTGGAACATCACAGAACGTTTACATGCCTTGAAAAGTGGGTCAATAATAGTAGTTAATGTATATATGGAACATGAAAGCTGTATCCTCTATCCTTCAAAATTTATTACCAATGTCTAATTTCTTGAAAGATATAGAAGTCAAGGCTATTGGGTCAAAATTATAGTACATGGACACTATACCTCTTTATAATTTGGTTTTAATACGATGTTGAAGGCTCCATGAATGATCTAAATATCTTCCCCTTCCTTGTGATGCCCCTCACTTGGTCACACAGCAGCATGCTACAATAAATTGTATATTTTCATAAAAATAATTCAATTCCTTACAGGTACTAATTAAAGCACAATTATATAAGAATGAGTTGTTAATTTTTTTTGCCATTCACCACATATTTAACGGTACTTTTTATTTAGTTTTGTATGTTGACAGGTCTAAAATAAATAACTGTGTACAATAATTCAAATTGGAGAAACTTTTTAATTAATATCTTGTTAAACTTTTAAATGCATACATCATTATAGAGTGTTCAAGATGAACAAGGAAAATGAAATTTACAAGGTCAAGTCCAAAGATTATTTCTTATTCTACCCACATAGCTATTAATAGCTACAATGTACATTTATGTAGGTTAAAGCTACCCAAAGTAGCTATTTTAGCCACTTCTAAGACCTACACATGTAGATAGAAATGCTTTAGTAGTCTTTGGACTGTACCTTTTTACATTCATTTCAATTTAATTCTTTTTCAATAATTTCATCTACTCATAACTCTACGAACAAATATTATTATATTGTGTATCAGAAATTGTAGTTACTTACGTGTACATGCACGGTGTATAACACTGGTAGCGTTGCACCAGCTTGACCAATCAAATGACCTGCTTTCAAATTTTCACATGTTCTGTTTGGAGGGGAATTCTTGGTCCATCTCCTCTGGTGTTTTCAATATGCAGGTGTGAACTTAGAAGATTTGGAATTTGACAAAACTTCCTTCTTCACCTCTTTGTATTTTATTTTGAAGAAAAGTTAAAATAACGTCCACATTCGATAGTCATTCACTGTATTTACTAAATAATTTTGCAAGTGTAACACATGGCATACGACCTACTTTAGACAATACATGGTCATTGCTAAAACTCACGAGTTGTTGAATGTCTTCAGAATAAACAATATCACATCTGCCAAGGAAGCTATACTGTATAATCTAAGCAGTTTTGTATAAAAATATCAGTAAAACACATCGTTTGTGAAAAGGAACTCCAAACCGGCAAAACGTCATGCTTACAAATACTTTTGTTTTTACCTTCCTTCACTGTCGGAACTAGAGAGTTCTACAAAGGGAGATAATATTTTTGTGAAATGCTAGTTTTTTAAAATTTTCAAATGCATTTTATTTTTTTAAAGCAAAAAACACACATCCAGAATAATTATGAATAAATAATCAAGTATGTTTGCTTTCAAAATATTGTTAATATTTTATAAACCTATCTTGGGATTTTTTATAAAATGGCACTGAAAGTATGGTTATTTAGCGTGTTGGTTAAGGGTTAAAAATAGGAGGAAATTAAATTTCTTTAAAATAAAAAGGGGAGTTAGTGATGAAGCAAAATAATTTTTTATCTTTACTTCACACCTTGTTTTCACAATTTAATGCACTTAATCCAACCATAGTGCATTACTTATTTTGAATTTTTTATGTCAAATTAGGAGAAAACTGACGTTTTCAAACATGGGGGTAGCCACAAAATGTGTTAGGGGGCCATAACCTGGAGGATAGGTCACATCTCAAAATTTTAAATATACCTAATTAATCTCATACACATTCCTAATTTTTTCATATATGTTTTATTAAAATCTGTGGTATTCGTTTGAACGGCATCTGTGGTCCTTACAGAGAATGACTCTTAAAATTCTCAGTCTTATGTTTGTCTCTCCAGCCATTAAATATAAACCCCATGAACTTTTTCCTCAAGCCATGAAAAATTTATCTTTCTAGAGCCAGTGATCTTTATAATAGTTTTACCAAATTAATTCTTATAATATATATATTGCAGGGTATAGACCAAAAAAGTTTTAAGAAGCTGTACCAAAGCTATCATAAGAGGTTCCATGTGTTTACCATTCCATATAATGAGATGTATCCAGACAGTCCCGAAAGCAATTGGTACACCAGGTTAGTATCTGGTAAAACTTGTTTAGTAGAAACACGGATATTGTGAATTCACAGATAGAGCAAAGTTATCTTGGATCCCCAGCTATACAAATTTAACAAATTCCTTATACAGATATAACGAATTACAGATAAAGCAAAGTAATTTCATAGGTCCTATTGACTTGGCTATAATAACCAAGTTTTACTGTATCTGGTAAAAAAAAGTGAGTTTCTGATTCTCAAAATACATGTAAGTATATGGAACAAAGTAACTGTTTGGTACACATATCTGAGATGCAATGTGAATGTTTGGTACTCAAAGTGTTTGATATAAAAAGTAAGATTGTCATGTACAAAACAAGTTCTGTTTCAGAGAGAATTTAAGAAAAAAAAAAAAAAACTCTATATGGTATAAAATTAAAGACAAAAGTCTAGAATTTAAAGTTGGTTCTTGCACTTTGAGATCAGTAAGGTAAATAAACTTTGAACATGATTTAAGTGAACATTTTTAAACTTGTGAATTACATTAATTCGAAATAATTTAATTTTGCTTGTATTCTTGCCTCTCATTGGTTGATTTCCAAAAAGGAACGCATAACATTATGTATAATCTGGTTTGGTATGGGGACACACCCCCTTGACAACCAGCATAATCATCTGTATCCATCAATCCCCTCATTTCCAGTCCTTGGGATTCATGGAAAATTCCAGATTTAATGAATTTCCTTTAATTTCAAACAGTAACCCGATCTTACCTCATGTAAACAAGCATCATGGCTGCTAGATCTATATATCAGTATTTACCTCCCCTCGCTTCCCATCACTTCCGTTACTACGGTTGTATTATTGCGCGGTAAATTTGAACTCATAAAAACAACACAATTTTACATCCCCAGTTGAATAATTATTTTAAAATTAAATTATAAGGAATGACTCTAATTCTAGGCCAAATTATCGAGTATAATATGGTTTGGGTCAGTTTACGCTTTTTTATAATCCGCTTCGCGGATTATAAAGCGTAAACTGACCCAAACCATATTATACTCGATAATTTGGCCAAGAATTAGAGTCATTCCTTAAAGAATAGTTTTAGTGATGGAAAAAAAACATCTTATGAGAAATGTGGATTCAAAAATGATTTGGAAGATTTTGTTGAAAGAACATGAACAGATTTTAATTGAATGATGTTATGTTTAGAAATGCATATTTGAAATTTAAGTGTGATTGAGTTGATAGAACAGCTTTTTAAATGGAATGACTTTTATTTTAGAAATGCGGATTTGAAGATGGTACGTGTGATTGAGGTGTTAGAAGAAGAAAGTGATGAAGAAGAGGATGAGGATGGAAAGATAGAAGACATTGATCAAGGTCACCGTGGTTTGATATTACATTGTATTTAGATTGTTAAAAGGTTTATTATGTAAGTGTGTGTGTTAAAGGATTATTGCATGGCATTGATTTAACATGTTTAAATTAAATAAAAAAATAATATAGAAACAAGGTTGAAAATGCAAACATTTACTATTTATCATTGAATACAATCTCAAGCTGCAATGACTTGCTAACCAATTTGGATAAATGCTAATGAGAGAAGTGTGAGGGGAAACATTTATTGTCAAAATCTTCATTCAGCACATTTCTCTCAAGATATATCTAACACTTCTATTTTAAAACAGATGAGACATATTTTCCACAAGTCTATGAGAAATCGATTGTACGACAAGCAATGGATTGTATGGAGGCTGCAGGGGCAGAGGGCGTGTCACAAGGTCAGATGATGAAGAGGCTGTCGATGGACAATCTAGAGACGCGGATGATCTTACGTACCCTGGGACGACGCGGCGTGGTCACCTCACTGATGACAGAGTCAGGAAAACAGAAGAAAAAAGTGTGAGTCATCAACAACTCATTTAAGTGTCCACTCTGTTTTATTGTCTATTGATCAAAAAACAATATTCCATGCTCTGTTTGTATAGGTCAATACATAAAGTACTGTAAATCACTTAATTTTCATGACACCATATTATTTTCGTGAGAGATAGTCATTGACTCTTGATAAGCCAGACAAAATTTTTATAAATTATAGTTACTGCTCTATATAATCCTAAGGTATACTATTATACGCAAGAATTAAATTTTGCAATCATGCTGTCTCGCGTAATTACGTCAAAAGAAAGTCTCGCAAATAAAAAGTGATTTACAGTAGTGATGGTTTCTTATTTAAAAGTCAAATAGAATTATTAATTGTAATGTAACAGTAGGGAATTTTTTTAAAGTTTTGATTTACATGACACAGTTTTGGCATCCACAATTTTACTGGCATAAAAATATGGAAGTACTTGCACAAATTCTGTGATACTTTTGGACAAGGCAGTGATCTTGAAACTTTTTATCTGTGTTTTTTTTTTCAGGATGGTGTCCAGGTCTTTTGTGGGTGGAAACAAATTTATCACTCAGATCAATCAGGAAAAAGAGAAACTGAAACAGTCTCTCCAGGACATCAACAAGCAGGTCAAAGGTCGGTAGTTCTGTCCAATCATATACAACATCACAAGGAAAGGGGCATAACTCTGTATGAAACAAAATAGAGACAATGGTTGGCAATTCTGTCAAGAGAAAAAGAAACCAAAATAAATTGACATAACAAAGATGTGTTACTCTCAAAAACCTGACCTATCTAAGTAACATAAGCCTTACTTCTCTCACAAACAGTACAAATGTGAATAAATCTAGCCACTTAAACAATTAAAATTTTAAAGGCCCTTCACTCCCTATTGATTGGACAGTTAAAATAAAGATGTTTAATTCTCATAAACTTGAACAATTTTGACTCTTACACTTAGACATTTATAAAGGTACAACTCCTTCATATGTGAACAATCAAAATAACAAGGGTATGTAACTCTCACTGACTTGAACAATTGTATGAATGCATAAAACTCCTGTGTTCTTTAAATCTTCACTGCTTACAATTTTTGTTTTCTGTTATGGTAGAAGATCCAGAGAAATCTGTGGGAGAAATTAAAACCGAAATGGAGGACAAAGCTTCTAAAAAGAAGGACAAAGAAAAAACACCCAAGAAAAGTGAAAAAGAGAAAATTGATGAAGAAGTTCAGGGCTTAGTTCTAAACATGAACACCCAGAATAGGAACTTCAGAACAGATAGTAGGTCATTTTAAATGTCTTATTTAGGTCTAATTTTTCTAGGTTTCTACATTTTTTAGGTCACCTGAGTACACTCAGGTGACCTATTGCTATCCGTTTTTGTCTGTCCGTCGTCCGTCGTGCTTTAACATTTAAACATTTTCAGCTTCTTCTCTGAAACCACTGAACCAATTTCAACCAATTTTGGCATATAGCATCTATGGGTGAAGGGGAACAAAAATTGTGAATTTCGTGGTCCCTGCCCCCCTGGGGCCTGGGGGGTGGGGCAAAAACCACTAAAAATAGTGCAATCTTTAAAAATCTTCTTCTTTACTCCTGGACATCAAGCAGTCAAACTGTTGGTATGATTGTAATCAGCATTGAGTATTCTACCAAAATTGTGAAATTCATGGCCCCAGGGTAAGGGGTTCTGGTGTTAGGGCGGGGCTCTATTGATCATATAGTGAAAATGCATTAATTCTTTGAAAATCGTCTTCTCTGCTCCTGGGTATTAAATAAACTAATTAAGTTCATAGTTATGATGAACAAGAGTGCCTCTTCCAAAATTGTGAAATTTATGGCCCAAGGGTCAGGGGTTCTGGTGTTAGGGCGGGGCTGTATTAATTATTTAGTGAAAATGCATTAAATCTTTGAAAATCTTCTTCTCTGCTACTAGGTATTAAATAAACTAACTAAGTACATAATTATGATGAGCAAAAGTGCCTCTGCCAAAATTGTGAAATTCAAAGCCCTAGGGTCAGAGGTTCTGGTGTTAGGGCAGGGCTCTATTGATTATTTAGAGAAAATGCATTAAAACTTTAAAAATCTTCTTCTCTGTTCCTGAGTATTTAATAAACTAACTAAGTACAAAGTTATGATGAGCAAGAGTTCCTGAATTTTGTGGCCCCAGGGTCAGGGGTTCTAGTGTTAGGGCGGGGCTCTATTGATTATATAGTGAAAATGCATTAAATCTTTGAAAATTCTCTTCTCTGCTTCTGAGTATTAAATAAACTAATTAAGGACATAGTTGTGATGAGCACAAATGCTTCTAAAAATTGTGAATTTTATGGGCCCAGGGTCAGGGGTTATGGTGTTAAGATGTGGCTCTATAATGATTATATGGTGAAAATACATTACATCAATGAAAATCTTTTTCTCTACTTCTGGGTAATAAGCAGAATGAACTACAGTCAGACTTGTTTTAAGAGGCCTCCTTTGGGAAGTCCGGAAACTGGCCACTTAAGACAGGTGGCCTCTTATTCCAGTTTGCCCTCGAAAAGGACATTTGGTCAATAAATAAACAACATTAAGCACTACAGTTAAATTAATTAATCATAATTAAACAGTTCAATTTCTTGAAAGCTTTTTATGTGTATATATAATAATTCAAGCTCATTCAAAAAGAATATTAAAGGATTCGAAATGTTTAAGGTTTTGTGCATGTTTCTGTTCCTACATATTAGTTAAACATAACTTGCATTCATAAGTGTGCTTTTGTTACATTGAATTATTAAATAAATTCTTTTAATTTTCATTTGAATAAATACATACAGTGGCTGACTATTATCCTTTTTTATAAAGAAAAAAATACACAAAAATACAGTTTAATGGTAAATAAAATAAAGCATAGGAATTTAAGTAAAACAATGTCAATAAAAATTTTACTTACATATATGTTAAAAGATAGTCAGCAGGGTAACCCCCCCCCCCTCAACTTAATTAATTGGTAATTAATTTACTTGCTGAAGTTTATGAAGTCTGATTAATTTTATGGTTATAAAGCTGTCAGAATTTAAGAAATAAAGTCCGCGTTTTCGTGAATGTTGCAGAATAACCTCCGAGGTCGAGAAATGTTGTTTGAAAGATAAAAGCTGAGGCGCTAGCCGAGGCTTTTATATTTCAAACAACATTTCGAGACCGAGGAGGTTATTCTGCATCATTCACAACAACAAGGACTTTATTTCTATTCTACCAAGTATGGCACAAACGCTAAATTAGGGATAATCGTTTCCTCTATAGAGAAACGAATTAGGTCACCATGTCTAGATTACGCTGTTTCATTTAACACCAGAGGTAAAATTTGTTTGCTTACCAGTACATAGAATGCAGACGATTTGAGCTTTCGTTACATTAAAAATAGCCTTATTAAATTACAAATATGTTCGTTATATGTATTGATCAGTTAAAAAGAATATACAATAACAAAATCATGTTCCTGTTTTACTGCTAAAATCACGTTGTTTAATGTGTAGGGAGGTCCGTGGAATAGCCCCGCTTAGCTATAAAAACCGACATTCATCAGCATCTTGATGCAATTTACAGTGTTTATTCTGCAAAAGATGACACATCTATGCGGTCTAAACAAGTGTTTCATTCTACAGCCAAACATGCACTTGAATTGTTAAGATTTAATCAGTGCTCCAAGTCACACTTGCTCTCAGGACGCAAAATTGCGACCTAAAAATTTTTTGGGTCGCCATTTCAGAATTTCTGGTCGCCATAATCAAATATTTCACTCGCCATAAAAAAAATACATTATGTGAATAAAACTTGATAATTTAAATAAGGATATGTATTATGTCTTTATTATATCATAGATTACTTATATTACTGTGACTATAAAAATTTGCTAGGTTGAATGAAATATTTTTATTGAATACATGTACCCTTATGGTTGTACAGAAGAACACAAGTAATCTGATTACAGAAATAAAATTTTATCAAATGAAAATACAAGCTTGACAGCTGTTGAGACAGGACTTTGCCTGCTGTTTGTCATGTTTACTTACTACTACGTACCTAACCCATTACACAGTCATTATAAATGCCGCCAAAACACTCTTTATTAGCATGATAATACAATCATGATTCATTATGATATGCAAGCAATTGATCAAATGCTTCAATAACAAGGTTGGATCTTAAAAAGTGTACGAAGTTTGGATGCCATTCTATCAGGAACATTATTTGTCCACGTCTCTGGTTCAGGTTCTATTAAACTTTGTACAGCATGCCATGCTGTCATAACATTACGTGATCTAAGTCCATGCAACGCTTTGTAATGTGTATTTAAGTATATGTCTTCAAACATTTTCTTGATAAAGAATCTTTACAAATGAAATCTCGATCCCGATCTTAAAAATTGGACGTTTCCAGCCCAAATTTTCTCAGTCGCGAAAATGCGAGTATGTTTTCATTTCTAGTCGCAAAATCAATTTTTTGGTCGCAAATGCGACCATTTTAGTCGCAACTTGGAGCACTGTTAATACGTGTTTCTGATCTGATAATTTTTTGATGACGTTCGTGATTTATTGGAGAATAATGTCCGGCGGCTTCCTTTGAAGTTTACGATAATCGTGGTAGAATTCTATTTAACATACACAGACACACAAATAAAATTAACCAGTTGACCAGAGAAATGTATTTACGCAGTTGAAAATCATTCCATAACACAGGTATCAAATGCAGTAGAGCGTGACTAATCCCTATCGATCCTCTCTTGTTGGTGAAATTTACGAGATAACCATGCCATATGAAGCACTTTGTTTTTACAAGAGTAGCAATAAGGGCTTCTACATGGAATCAAAATCTAAAAGGTGTGAATTTCTTTAGCTAGAGAAAAGTATCAATTGTAGTAATTAAATTCTTTTAATTTTTCAATCGGCGATCTTGAAAAATAATTACAAATTGATCTAACAGGACAAATATTTTTTTTCATAAACACAAACAGAGTTCAGCGTATCTAAAAGAAATTTGTTTAATTGCATTAATAGGTTAAATTGACTATCGAGGATATCATAACCCAAGCCAACACGTTTAAAAGATGTGATAGAATCGCAACAAGTGACGAAATGGCCGCCTATTACATTGTCAGTAAGACTGTTGGGGGAGGATTTGAGTGGCCACTGGCCGCGTTACACAGGTGGCCGTTTATTCCAGTTAAAATATATAGGAAAAATCATCGGGGGGAACTGAAAGTGGCCGCTGACCGCGAGTGGCCGATGATTTCGGGTGGCCGCTAAGACAAGTTTGACTGTATTTATATAGTTATGATTGGATGGGCTCTTCTTCCAGAATTGTGAATTTCAAAGCCCCTGGGTCAGGGATATCAAAATGGGGAGGGGGGGGGCTCTACTTATATACTGCAAATGAATTGTTTGAAATCTGCTCCTTGGTATTAATAAAACATTTTTGATAAGCAAGTGTGCCTTTTCAAAAATTGTGCAATGTGTAGACTTAGGGTCAGGGGTTCATGAGTGGTAGGAACACTCCTGATTATTGCTGAATATTACTGATTAGTTGACATACTTTTTTGTTCCCCTACCCTGCTTATCCATATTAAGTAAACAAACTAAACAATTGCTAAGTGTATAATTGTGATAAGCAATGGTGCCTCTTTCAAAATTGTGAATACCATAGCATCTAGCTTAAAACATGAACCAAATTCAATCATTTGAAAGTTGTTGCATGATGCTCAGGTGACCTATAAGGCTCATGGGCCTCTTGTTTATTATTGATATCTCTCTGCTTTTCACTGGTTGTGTACTGGAAGAAGAGTGAAAATTGCTACTCTAGCAATTTAAGGGTTTAACATATTAATATTTCCTTGCTGGCTTGTGCAAGTTTAAAAATTTTCTCTGGATAATAAGTTATGGTGTCAATTAATCATGAAAATATGATAGTCAAAAAATGAAGAAGCAAATCTATAATAGCCTATTTGAAATAATTAATGACATGTGATTTTATTGCACTTTAATAGATATTTTGTTTTTCAGTCAAGGCCACTTGTCGACAAATGAAACGAATCAATTACATCTTGGACTTCATCAGAGAAAACAAAATCATAGATGGTATTTTTCCGATTGTTAAGGTAGGTCTAGATAACATACTATTGAGCATTATGGCTATTTCTCATGGAAACAGCAAAAATAAAAGAAAGATGCTAATCTCTATCAGAAAAAAGAATCTAAGGCTCAGATAAAACAAAGGCATTATGAAAACAAAAACAACAAAATATCTTTTGATTTTAAGCATTTACCTGTGATACTTGTTAATGGAAGGGGGTTGAATGTTTAGCATTGGGAATGGTTCTATAGCTACCCCTCACAGATGGATGTGAAGCCAAATATAGAACAGCAATGTATTTCATCTCGTATACAAACTCTCTGTCCCAGTTTAATTCCCAACTAGAAATTTATTTTTTAAAAAAGTCATTCTGTGAAATAACATCCCATGGAAAAAATTAGAGAAATCCTATAGATATTTTGATTATTTCTAAAATATTTGTCGAATGATATATCCCAAGGAATCATGAATTCCAGAATTACATTTAGATTAAAATTACTGTCAACAAATCAATAAGTTCACTAAAATGGTGCACTTTTGTGATGTTTATTCAGATGATTCGGGATAATGAGCGCAGTGAGAACTTGGAGTTCATTGTTGACAAAAAGTCTGTGATTCGTCTCCTGTCCGTCCTGACCAAGGAACAGAAGGTCAACGCCGTCAACACAGTACTGGTGGACGGGAACAAGGAGAAAAAGGTCCGATGTGATCAACAGTTACAACGGGGCTAAAGATCAACAGTTATAACAGGGCTAAAGATCAACAGTTATAACGGGACTAATTAAAGATCAACAGTTATAACAGGGCTAAAGATCAACAGTTATAACGGGGCTAATTAAAGATCAACAGTTATAACGGGACTAATTAAAGATCAACAGTTATAACAGGGCTAATTAAAGATCAACAGTTATAACAGGGCTAATTAAAGATCAACAGTTATAACAGGACTAATTAAAGATCAACAGTTATAACAGGGCTAAAGATCAACAGTTATAACGGGGCTAAAGATCAACAGTTATAACGGGACTAAAGATCAACAGTTATAACGGGACTAATTAAAGATCAACAGTTATAACGGGGCTAAAGATCAACAGTTATAACGGGGCTAAAGATCAACAGTTATAACGGGGCTAATTAAAGATCAACAGTTATAACGGGGCTAATTAAAGATCAACAGTTATAACGGGACTAAAGATCAACAGTTATAACGGGACTAAAGATCAACAGTTATAACGGGGCTAATTAAAGATCAACAGTTATAACGGGACTAAAGATCAACAGTTATAACGGGACTAAAGATCAACAGTTATAACGGGGCTATAGATCAACAGTTATAACGGGGCTAAAGATCAACAGTTATAACGGGGCTAAAGATCAACAGTTATAACAGGGCTAAAGATCAACAGTTATAACGGGGCTAAAGATCAACAGTTATAATGGGGCTAAAGATCAACAGTTATAACAGGACTAATTAAAGATCAACAGTTATAACGGGGCTAAAGATCAACAGTTATAACGAGGCTAATTAAAGATCAACAGTTATAACGGGGCTAATTAAAGATCAACAGTTATAACGGGGCTAAAGATCAACAGTTATAACAGGGCTAAAGATCAACAGTTATAACGGGACTAATTAAAGATCAACAGTTATAACGGGGCTAAAGATCAACAGTTATAACGGGGCTATAGATCAACAGTTATAACGGGGCTAAAGATCAACAGTTTTAACGGGGCTATAGATCAACAGTTATAACGGGACTAATTAAAGATCAACAGTTATAACAGGGCTAAAGATAAACAGTTATAACGGGGCTAAAGATCAACAGTTATAACGGGGCTAAAGATCAACAGTTATAACGGGGCTAAAGATCAACAGTTATAACAGGGCTAAAGATCAACAGTTATAACGGGGCTAAAGATCAACAGTTATAATGGGGCTAAAGATCAACAGTTATAACAGGACTAATTAAAGATCAACAGTTATAACGGGGCTAAAGATCAACAGTTATAACGAGGCTAATTAAAGATCAACAGTTATAACGGGGCTAATTAAAGATCAACAGTTATAACGGGGCTAAAGATCAACAGTTATAACAGGGCTAAAGATCAACAGTTATAACGGGACTAATTAAAGATCAACAGTTATAACGGGGCTAAAGATCAACAGTTATAACGGGGCTATAGATCAACAGTTATAACGGGGCTAAAGATCAACAGTTTTAACGGGGCTATAGATCAACAGTTATAACGGGACTAATTAAAGATCAACAGTTATAACAGGGCTAAAGATAAACAGTTATAACGGGGCTAAAGATCAACAGTTATAACGGGGCTAATTAAAGATCAACAGTTATAACGGGGCTATAGATCAACAGTTATAACGGGGCTAATTAAAGATCAACAGTTATAACGGGGCTAAAGATCAACAGTTATAACGGGGCTATAGATCAACAGTTATAACGGGGCTAAAGATCAACAGTTATAACGGGGCTAAAGATCAACAGTTATAACGGGGCTAAAGATCAACAGTTATAACGGGGCTAAAGATCAACAGTTATAACAGAGCTAAAGATCAACAGTTATAACGGGGCTAATTAAAGATCAACAGTTATAATGGGGCTAAAGATCAACAGTTATAACAGGACTAATTAAAGATCAACAGTTATAACGGGACTAAAGATCAACAGTTATAACAGGGCTAAAGATCAACAGTTATAACGGGGCTAATTAAAGATCAACAGTTATAACAGGGCTAAAGATCAACAGTTATAACGGGGCTAAAGATCAACAGTTATAACGGGGCTAATTAAAGATCAACAGTTATAACGGGGCTAAAGATCAACAGTTATAACAGGGCTAAAGATCAACAGTTATAACGGGACTAATTAAAGATCAACAGTTATAACGGGGCTAAAGATCAACAGTTATAACGGGGCTAAAGATCAACAGTTATAACGGGACTAATTAAAGATCAACAGTTATAACGGGGCTAAAGATCAACAATTATAACGGGGCTATGGATCAACAGTTATAACGGGGCTAAAGATCAACAGTTATAACGGGACTAATTAAAGATCAACAGTTATAACGGGGCTAAAGATCAACAGTTATAACGGGGCTAAAGATCAACAGTTATAACGGGGCTAAAGATCAACAGTTATAACGGGGCTATAGATCAACAGTTATAACGGGACTATAGATCAACAGTTATAACGGGGCTAAAGATCAACAGTTATAACGGGGCTAAAGATCAACAGTTATAACGGGGCTAAAGATCAACAGTTATAACAGGGCTAAAGATCAACAGTTATAACGGGGCTAAAGATCAACAGTTATAACGGGGCTAAAGATCAACAGTTATAACGGGGCTAAAGATCAACAGTTATAACGGGGCTAAAGATCAACAGTTATAACGGGACTAATTAAAGATCAACAGTTATAACGGGGCTAAAGATCAACAGTTATAACGGGGCTAATTAAAGATCAACAATTATAACGGGGCTAATTAAAGATCAACAGTTATAACAGGGCTAAAGATCAACAGTTATAACAGGGCTAATTAAAGATCAACAGTTATAACGGGGCTAATTAAAGATCAACAGTTATAACGGGGCTAAAGATCAACAGTTATAACAGGACTAATTAAAGATCAACAGTTATAACGGGACTAAAGATCAACAGTTATAACAGGGCTAAAGATCAACAGTTATAACGGGGCTAAAGATCAACAGTTATAACGGGGCTATAGATCAACAGTTATAACGGGGCTAAAGATCAACAGTTATAACGGGGCTAAAGATCAACAGTTATAACAGGGCTAAAGATCAACAGTTATAACAGGGCTAAAGATCAACAGTTATAACAGGGCTAAAGATCAACAGTTATAATGGGACTAAAGATCAACAGTTATAACGGGACTAATTAAAGATCAACAGTTATAACGGGGCTAAAGATCAACAGTTATAACGGGGCTAATTAAAGATCAACAGTTATAACGGGGCTAATTAAAGATCCTCAGTTATAACGGGGCTAAAGATCAACAGTTTTAACGGGGCTAAAGATCAACAGTTATAACGGGGCTAATTAAAGATCAACAGTTATAACGGGGCTATAGATCAACAGTTATAACGGGGCTAAAGATCAACAGTTATAACAGGGCTAAAGATCAACAGTTATAACAGGGCTAAAGATCAACAGTTATAACGGGACTAATTAAAGATCAACAGTTATAACGGGACTAATTAAAGATCAACAGTTATAACGGGGCTAAAGATCAACAGTTATAACGGGGCTAAAGATCAACAGTTATAACAGGGCTAAAGATCAACAGTTATAACGGGGCTAATTAAAGATCAACAGTTATAACAGGGCTAAAGATCAACAGTTATAACGGGGCTAAAGATCAACAGTTATAACGGGACTAATTAAAGATCAACAGTTATAACGGGGCTAAAGATCAACAGTTATAACGGGGCTAATTAAAGATCAACAGTTATAACGGGGCTAATTAAAGATCCTCAGTTATAACGGGGCTAAAGATCAACAGTTATAACGGGGCTAAAGATCAACAGTTATAACGGGGCTAAAGATCAACAGTTATAACGGGGCTAAAGATCAACAGTTATAACAGAGCTAAAGATCAACAGTTATAACGGGGCTAATTAAAGATCAACAGTTATAATGGGGCTAAAGATCAACAGTTATAACAGGACTAATTAAAGATCAACAGTTATAACGGGACTAAAGATCAACAGTTATAACAGGGCTAAAGATCAACAGTTATAACGGGGCTAATTAAAGATCAACAGTTATAACAGGGCTAAAGATCAACAGTTATAACGGGGCTAAAGATCAACAGTTATAACGGGGCTAATTAAAGATCAACAGTTATAACGGGGCTAAAGATCAACAGTTATAACAGGGCTAAAGATCAACAGTTATAACGGGACTAATTAAAGATCAACAGTTATAACGGGGCTAAAGATCAACAGTTATAACGGGGCTAAAGATCAACAGTTATAACGGGACTAATTAAAGATCAACAGTTATAACGGGGCTAAAGATCAACAATTATAACGGGGCTATGGATCAACAGTTATAACGGGGCTAAAGATCAACAGTTATAACGGGACTAATTAAAGATCAACAGTTATAACGGGGCTAAAGATCAACAGTTATAACGGGGCTAAAGATCAACAGTTATAACGGGGCTAAAGATCAACAGTTATAACGGGGCTATAGATCAACAGTTATAACAGGACTATAGATCAACAGTTATAACGGGGCTAAAGATCAACAGTTATAACGGGGCTAAAGATCAACAGTTATAACGGGACTAATTAAAGATCAACAGTTATAACGGGACTATAGATCAACAGTTATAACGGGACTATAGATCAACAGTTATAACGGGGCTAAAGATCAACAGTTATAACGGGGCTAAAGATCAACAGTTATAACGGGACTAATTAAAGATCAACAGTTATAACGGGGCTAAAGATCAACAGTTATAACGGGGCTAAAGATCAACAGTTATAACGGGGCTATGGATCAACAGTTATAACGGGGCTAATTAAAGATCAACAGTTATAACGGGGCTAATTAAAGATCAACAGTTATAACGGGGCTAAAGATCAACAGTTATAACAGGGCTATAGATCAACAGTTATAACGGGGCTAAAGATCAACAGTTATAACGGGGCTAATTAAAGATCAACAGTTATAACGGGGCTAATTAAAGATCAACAGTTATAACAGGGCTAAAGATCAACAGTTATAACGGGGCTAATTAAAGATCAACACTTATAACAGGGCTAAAGATCAACAGTTATAACGGGGCTAAAGATCAACAGTTATAACGGGGCTAATTAAAGATCCTCAGTTATAACGGGGCTAAAGATCAACAGTTATAACGGGGCTAAAGATCAACAGTTATAACGGGGCTAATTAAAGATCAACAGTTATAACAGGGCTAAAGATCAACAGTTATAACGGGGCGAAAGATCAACAGTTATAACAGGGCTAATTAAAGATCAACAGTTATAACGGGGCTAATTAAAGATCAACAGTTATAACGGGGCTAAAGATCAACAGTTATAACGGGGCTAAAGATCAACAGTTATAACGGGGCTAATTAAAGATCAACAGTTATAACGGGGCTAAAGATCAACAGTTATAACAGGGCTAAAGATGAACAGTTATAACGGGGCTAATTAAAGATCAACAGTTATAACGGGGCTAAAGATCAACAGTTATAACGGGGCTAATTAAAGATCAACAGTTATAACGGGGCTAAAGATCAACAGTTATAACGGGGCTAATTAAAGATCAACAGTTATAACGGGGCTAAAGATCAACAGTTATAACGGGGCTAAAGATCAACAGTTATAACGGTGCTAATTAAAGATCAACAGTTATAACGGGGCTAAAGATCAACAGTTATAACGGGGCTAAAGATCAACAGTTATAACGGGGCTAAAGATCAACAGTTATAACAGGGCTAAAGATCAACAGTTATAACGGGGCTAAAGATCAACAGTTATAACGGGGCTAAAGATCAACAGTTATAACGGGGCTATAGATCAACAGTTATAACGGGACTAATTAAAGATCAACAGTTATAACAGGGCTAAAGATCAACAGTTATAACGGGGCTAAAGATCAACAGTTATAACGGGGCTAATTAAAGATCAACAGTTATAACGGGACTAAAGATCAACAGTTATAACGGGGCTAAAGATCAACAGTTATAACGGGGCTAATTAAAGATCAACAGTTATAACGGGGCTAAAGATCAACAGTTATAATGGGCCTAATTAAAGATCAACAGTTATAACGGGGCTAAAGATCAACAGTTATAACGGGGCTAAAGATCAACAGTTATAACGGGGCTAAAGATCAACAGTTATAACGGGGCTAATTAAAGATCAACAGTTATAACGGGGCTAAAGATCAACAGTTATAACGGGGCTAAAGATCAACAGTTATAACGGGGCTAAAGATCAACAGTTATAACAGGGCTAAAGATCAACAGTTATAACGGGGCTAAAGATCAACAGTTATAACGGGGCTAAAGATCAACAGTTAAAACGGGGCTATAGATCAACAGTTATAACGGGACTAATTAAAGATCAACAGTTATAACAGGGCTAAAGATCAACAGTTATAACGGGGCTAAAGATCAACAGTTATAATGGGGCTAATTAAAGATCAACAGTTATAACAGGGCTAAAGATCAACAGTTATAACGGGGCTATAGATCAACAGTTATAACGGGGCTAAAGATCAACAGTTATAACAGGACTAATTAAAGATCAACAGTTATAACGGGACTAAAGATCAACAGTTATAACAGGGCTAAAGATCAACAGTTATAACAGGGCTAATTAAAGATCAACAGTTATAACAGGGCTAAAGATCAACAGTTATAACGGGGCTAAAGATCAACAGTTATAACGGGGCTAATTAAAGATCAACAGTTATAACGGGGCTAATTAAAGATCAACAGTTATAACGGGGCTAAAGATCAACAGTTATAACAGGGCTAAAGATCAACAGTTATAACGGGACTAATTAAAGATCAACAGTTATAACGGGGCTAAAGATCAACAGTTATAACGGGGCTAAAGATCAACAGTTATAACGGGACTAATTAAAGATCAACAGTTATAACAGGGCTAAAGATCAACAGTTATAACGGGGCTAAAGATCAACAGTTATAACGGGGCTAAAGATCAACAGTTATAACGGGACTAATTAAAGATCAACAGTTATAACGGGGCTAAAGATCAACAGTTATAACGGGGCTAAAGATCAACAGTTATAACGGGGCTAAAGATCAACAGTTATAACGGGGCTATAGATCAACAGTTATAACGGGACTATAGATCAACAGTTATAACGGGGCTAAAGATCAACAGTTATAACGGGGCTAAAGATCAACAGTTATAACGGGGCTAAAGATCAACAGTTATAACGGGACTAATTAAAGATCAACAGTTATAACGGGACTATAGATCAACAGTTATAACGGGACTATAGATCAACAGTTATAACGGGGCTAAAGATCAACAGTTATAACGGGGCTAAAGATCAACAGTTATAACGGGACTAATTAAAGATCAACAGTTATAACGGGACTAATTAAAGATCAACAGTTATAACGGGGCTAAAGATCAACAGTTATAACGGGGCTATAGATCAACAGTTATAACGGGACTAATTAAAGATCAACAGTTATAACGGGACTAATTAAAGATCAACAGTTATAACGGGACTAAAGATCAACAGTTATAACGGGGCTAATTAAAGATCAACAGTTATAACGGGGCTAAAGATCAACAGTTATAACGGGGCTAATTAAAGATCAACAGTTATAACGGGACTAAAGATCAACAGTTATAACGGGGCTAAAGATCAACAGTTATAACGGGGCTAATTAAAGATCAACAGTTATAACGGGGCTAAAGATCAAGATATACTGCCCATGCCTATTTTGAAAGTTTTCAAATATTAACATGATACATGCATATTCACATTTTTTAAAAAAGAGTGTTGTTTGTTAAACGATTACTAATTAGTTCTTTTCTTCCTGAGCTACACAGCATATTTTTTAAATTTGTTAGTCAACCACCTATAAGAAGCAAGATTGCACATGGTCATACCATGGAGTCAAAACAAAAAAAAAAAATTAACAGATAGACATAGAGATGACAGGGGATCATTGTATGTTACAACATTTGTAATAATTTACATACATGTACTGTAAATTACTTTTTATTCGCGAGAACTTTATTTTCGCATAATTACGCGAGGTGGTATGCTCGCGAAAAATTTCATTCACGCGTATAATAGAATTCCTTAAGATTATATAAAGCAATGACCACAATTCATGAAAATTTTGTCTCGTTAATAATGAGTCAATACTATCTCGCGAAAATAAGGTGTCGCGAAAATTAAGTGATCTACAGTATATATTAATAATTGATAGATGCAAATGTGGATGAGCAAGGAGGTAGAGCCGACAGACCCACTTGTGACATCACTTATAGATCAGGCTAATATGAAGTTTCAGGCTGTCAACAGGGAACAGGTGGCCAAGAAAAATCCCAAATCCCGTGATCTCCCAGTAAGTATCCCAATTATCATAGTACCAAATCCTGGGACTTCACAATAAGTATCCTGATTATCATAGTACTAGTACATAATCCCGGGACTTTCCAGTAAGTATCTCAGTTATCAAATTACCAAATCCCGGGACTTCCCAGTATCTCAATTATCATAGTACCAAAGCCCGGGACCCCCAGTAAGTATCCCAATTATCATAGTACCAAATCCCGGGACTTCCAAGTAAGTATCCTGATTATCATAGTATATAATCCCGGGACTTTATCATAGTATATAATCCCGGTAAGTATCCAATTATCATAGTACCAAATGCCAGGACTTCCCAATAAGTATCCTGATTATCATAGTACATAATAATAGGACTTCCAGTAAGTATCCCAATTATCCTAGTACCAATCCCGGGACTTCTTAGTTAGTATTTAACTCAACTTAATACCAAATCCTGGGACTTCTCAATAAGAATCCCACTCATTGCAGTATTGTCAATTCCTAAATATACGTGTGGAATTAATTATCGCATAATTTTGTTAGAAGCGTCACACACGAAATAAAATTACTATATTTTTATGGTGCTGAAATCTATGTAAATTTCATGACCAACCATCCATTTTGGAATTATTATTCTCACGATCTGACATTGAATAGCCCATTTGTAATAATAAGTACTCACAAAAAATAAGGAATCTAAAGTATCCCAAACCCAGGACTTCTCAGTACTTTTCATAAGTCTCCCACACATATTTTTTCTTAATCAAATCCTGGGACTTCTAAGTCAGATCAATTCAAAAATCAAATAGAATGTGGCTCATGAATCCTTTAATTTTAGGAGGTACCAGAGACAGCAAAAGAAGGCATTTATCAAATAATGTCACATCGCAGCAAGTTGAAAGCTGAGGATATGATTTATGATGTGGTGAGAGAATATGTGAAATAAACTGCCAAAATTGTTTTGAATTTTTAGCTCACCTCAACAAGTTGGGGGGAGCTTATGTGATACCGTCGGCGTCGGTGTCAGCGTCGGCGTCCCGGGTTAAGGTTAAGTTTTTTGGAGCAGTTTTCTTTTTAAGTACTTCTATGTCCTATATTGATTAGACATGCATGGAAGATGTTTCTAGTGTGTTTCATTGTACCAGTCAAAGTTTCAGATGCTGCAATTTCAGCAAAGGAATGACCAGGTTAATGTTTTTGGAGCAGGTTAACATTTTTGGTGCATTTTTTGGTGTAGGTCTCATTTTCGAGTAACTATAAAGCCCTATGTTGACCAAACTTGCATGGATGGTACATCTTAGGATGCATACTACCAGACTTGCTTCGGATGCTGAATCTGACCTACATTTTCCGGTTGAGTGAACAGGTTAAAGTTTTTGGAGCAGGTTTCATTTCGAAGATACTACAAGCCCTATAATGACCAAACTTGCATGGATGGTACATCTTAGGATGCATTCTACTAGACTTGCATCGGATGCTGAATCTGACCTACATTTTCCGGTTGAGTGAACAGGTTAAAGTTTTTGGTGCAGGTTTCATTTCCAAGTTACTATGAGACATATAATGACCAAACTTGCATGGATGGTACATCTTAGAATGCATACTACCAGTCTTGCTTCAGATGCTGAATCTGACCTACATTTTCCGGTTGAGTGAACAGGTTAAAGTTTTTGGTGCAGGTTTCATTTCCAAGTTACTATGAGACATATAATGACCAAACTTGCATGGATGGTATATCTTAGGATGCATACTACCAGTCTTTCTTCGGATGCTGAATCTGACCTACATTTTCCGATTGAGTGAACAGGTTAAAGTTTATGGTGCAGGTTTCATTTCCAAGGTACTTTGAACCCTATAATGACTAAACTAGCATGGATGGTACATCTTAGGATGCATATTACAAGACTTTCTTCGGATGCTGAATCTGACCTACATTTTCCGTTTGAGTGAACAGGTTAAAATTTTTGGTGCAGGTTTCATTTCCAAGGTACTATGAACCCAAAAATGACTAAACTTGCATGGATGGTACATCTTAGGATGCATACTACCAGACTTGCTTCGGATGCTGAATCTGACCCACGTTTTCTGGACGAGTAAACAGGTTAAAGTTTATGGTGCAGGATTCATTTCCAAGTAACTTTGAGCTATATAATGACCAAACTTGCATGGATGGTACATCTAAGGGTGCATTCTACTAGGCTGGCTTCAGAAGCTAAATTTGACCTACATTTTCAGGATTAGTGAAAAGGTTAGTTTTTTATACAGGTTTCATTTCCAAGTAACTTTGAGCTCTATGTTGAACAAACTTGCATGGATGATACATCTTAGGGTGCACACTAATGGACTTGCTTCAGATGCTGAATTTGACATACATTTTCCAGATAATAGACCTCGTAAAAGTTATGGGTGCAGGTCTATCACGAAGAAACTACAAGGCTTATATAAACCAAAGTTGCACAAATGATGCATCAAGGGATGAAAACTCTCAATCTTGCTTCAGATGCTGGATTTTAATTACATTTTCATGATGAAGAACAAGTTTGAAGTTTTATAGATCTATTCCAAAGTATCAAAATCAAAATTGCATAAATTTTGCATTTTTGGATGTACACTTTTTGTTGGTTAATTGTGTGACTTAATTTGCCTTACTTAAAGACAACATTCGTTGAGGTGAGCTCTGTAATCTCTGATTACCTATGTTTTTCAATTTCTTCATAATAAAAGCAGAAAATTAAGCTTTAAAGATTTTAAAATGTAGTAATTTAAAAAAAATATCTCCACAGGCCTATTCGAAGCATTATGATTTCCGGCCTAAGTTCTCTCGAGCTCAGATTCTCCATAATCTGTTGTGGTACCTGGTGTATGACTATCCCAACACTGCAGTTTGTCCTTCAAACGCTGACCTTGCGAATGATCCGGGAGCTACCCCTATGAAGGCGGAAATCAGCAATCCAGACAGCAGTGTAGAGGGAGACCAAGTGAGTTAGATATACTAATATATATGATAAATTTTGAGAATTATTTAAAAAAAAAATTAATATCAAACTTTTTAGTTTACTTTCAAGTGAATGTTCACAGTTGTGTTTTTTTTGTTGTCTTTTAACGAGACCAAGTCTTATTCGAGTGCTGTAGACACAACCTCAAAAGAAACATACTAGCAATCTAAACATTGCTATTTTTTTTTTTACCAAATAATTCATTTGCCTTGATAATTCATCTGCACCAATGTACAGTTATATTGCAATATGGCAATTTTAGAGGTATTGAGCATTGAAAAAATAAACTTTGTAATTAATTCCTAGACCAATCCAGATGGTCAACTTTTTTTTTCAAATTTCACACAGTTTGGTAACTTTTTACAATAAATTTCATGTAATTGGCTAAAAAATAAATCGCTAGGGCAGAAATACAAAAAATAATCGAAAAATGTGATAAATTAATTTGATGCTTTTCTAACAATTTCCATAGGGTCCCATAGTAAAATTTAACAACTTTTGAGTTGACCCCTAAGAAATCAGGATGATAAACACTTGAATTTCTAATCTTAAAATGATAAATATACAGTGTAGTAGTATAAATTATTCCAAGAAAACATATCAAAATCTCTAGGGTAGAAATAATTCGACTCATCCTTGTTAAGTTGCAACTTTAAAATGTTTAAGTTTTTACAGACTGATTTCAGCCCTTTTTTTATGTTAATAAAATTAGGATGACATTGTGACACTGATAAATGAAATTCCTGAACCACCTGTTTACAAAGATGAGATGTCATGGAAACGCTACCTTTCCCCTCTCCCTAAGCACAAAGGTAAGAGTCCGCAATCTGTTCTTTACTTTATCTCGCATTGAAAAAATGAATTACTTGAAGCTTCTTATATATGCATGTAGATTTCTTTGGAATAACATTTAAGATTTCCTAATATTTTTAACTGTAACAAAGTGTGACTAATGAGAATGAGGTTTATATGAAATATTTTTCTGTACTGTAAATGCCTTTTGCTGTACAGGTTATGGAGAAGGATGGTTCCTAGCTAGTGATGTCCTACTGAAATTACCACTGGTGATATTCTGTAACATTCTCTATATTCCATACAGGGTAAGATTGGTCAGCAAACATAATAAAATACTAATTAAATTAAATAAAGATATTGTGAAAAAAAATTAAAATGCACATACATTTATTACTACACATACCCTTTATTCCACCATTATTTACTCTAAAACCAGGTTAATTCTGTGTTTTGTAGATTCGGGGACTGAAGGAGCTTCTGGACGACCCAGAGAAATGTTTTTACCCCGTTATCAGTCTGCCCACCCCCCTCACCCAGCAGCTACTGTACGCGAGGAAGTACATCTTCTCCTTCTATGCCAACTGTGTCAATCTCAACAACATGGGGCTGGTTACCATGGGGCCTCAGATACTGAAGGAAAAAGACAAGGTACTCTTCAGGACTTCTTCTAATGAAGAGTTTGTTTCTGCTTAAAATGTTAAGTTCAATGCTTCAACAATTGTGAATTGCCAACATAACTTAAGATGCTCAAGAATTGTGTCCTAATTTCCTTATTTCATCCTTATTTCGCGGAAAATAAGAAATCTACAATACTCAAAGAATATATGGTTGGGACTTCCAAATCACTTTGACATATCCATAGCATTCAGGATATATATCGGTGTTTGAGATACGAAAGTTCAACTGTATTTTTAATAACCATCTGTACATGCTGGTTATATCAAATAAATTTTTGAGTATGTTCTATTTCAGATCTTTATCTACCTCCACAAGCGGGCTTCCTTGTTAGACACTAAAAGTTCAGAGCCTGGCTACAG